CATTATAACATGAAAGCATAACAAACTCAATTTTTTCCCTAATATGCACCCATAATACTGAAAATAAGCTTGGGTACAAGTTGTCTTGGGTACCAGTTGTCTTGGGAACGAGTTGTCTTGGGTACCAGTTGTCTTGGATACGAGTTGTCTTGGGTACGAGTTGACTAGGAAGCGTACCAACGATATCCATCATTTGAATTGGTATATATCACCTAATGTCAATGAAATACAAAGATCATCGAGACTATATTTTCAAAATTCAAACGTGATATAACATCAGTATCTATTTGGCATGCAGCATTCTCTCACAAGTGAATTATCTTCTGCTGCTAAAGAGGAACATGTTCAGAAGTGAGAGAAAGATACTATGTAGTAGCTTATGATCATGCCTTCTGCATATTGGATCATAAAAGGTGTGAGACGAATGTCTACCAGGAGCACGATTTACATCGTCATTATTTGTTCATTTAATCTGCTTTTCTGTTTAGTAATGAATTGTGTGGAAACATTAAAACGTAAAAACGACCTGGTATACCCCATTGTTCAAAATGGCTGATGAGAGCCTGTGGTGATGATACTGAAAAATATGTTTCCATATAACATTGTATGTATCAATGTCAATTTTATAGTGTTATTTAGTAAACTGATCATTGTGTTTGCAAAGGTTTTGATTATATTAAAGTATGCTTTTTGGTATGATATTCTTTACTTTTATGAATATGTGAATAATATAACTGAAGGAATATGACAGAATGTAGTACGGAATGAAATTGAATTAGAATATATTGTTTTCTTGGTGAAATGCTAATCCGAGTAGTAAACCTAAATATTGTCTCTATTAGTAATGCAAAAAATTGACTATTTTTCCACTATACATATCATGCCAACCACCAGAGGCATCTCTAAAAGCATCCCAAAATCGGTCAAAAGTGGTTTATTTTCACTTTTTGTACTCTGTAGCCAGATTTTATTTACTAAAATAAAATTTCTAAAAAAAAATCTAATGTTTAAATTTTTCTGCAAAAAACACATTTTTACCCCAAAAAACATTCTGACACATATCTCTTCTTATTAAATCTCAGTATCAATTAAGAAACCATTCACCCTTCAATTAGTTAACATGACTTGTCTGTTCGTCAAAAAGAGGTCATTAGATTTTCAATGCACTGATTCTAGTCTACATTCATTTCACTATATGCCAACTACAAGAGAAATCTCTAAAACCTCCCCAAAATCACCAAAATCGATCAAAACTGATTTATTTTCACTTTTCCATGGTCAACCTGACTGTATTTACCGAAATAAAATTTCTAAATTTTTTTTAATTAAAAAAGATTTCTGCAAAAAACACATTTTTACCCAAAACACATTTTGACACCTATTTTTCTTGTTAAATCACAGTATCAATTGAGAAACCATTTACCATTCAATTAGTTAACATGACTTGCCTGCTCGTCAGAAAGAGGTCGTTAAATTTTCAATGCACTGATTCTAATCTACATTCATTTCACTATGCCAACCACAAGATAAATCTCTAAAACCTCCCGAAAATCACCAAAATCGATCAAAACTGATTTATTTTCACTTTTCCATAGTCAACCAGACTGTACTTACGAAAATAAAATTCCTAAAAAAATTTAATTAAAAAAATTTGCAAAAAAAACATTTTTTACCCAAAAAACACATTTTGACACCTATTTCGTTTTGTTAAATCTCAGTTTCAATTTAGGAACCATTTTCCTTTCAATTAGTAAACATGACTTGCCTGCTCGTCAAAATATAAGATGTCATTATATTCTCAACCCCCTGATTCTAGTCTAATATTAGAACATCCCATCACATTCTCAACTTATCAATTACATTCTCAACAAACCCCCCTAAGGTCTGTGATATGTCTTTTATACCTTAGGGCTAAGGTCAGGTGTATTGAATTTGAAGTTTTCAATGATGAGACCTTAGGCCTAAGGTCATGTAAATCACGAAACGGTATATCGTTTGATCTGATTCTTTAACCGAGGTGAACTTGTCTAAAGGCCATGAAACGCGAAATACCTAAATGTTCACCCTTCACCCTGAGATGACCCTGGCCAATAACAATTTACGTTTGACCTCAGATCAACCAATCATGAGTCGCAAGTGCCTTTAAACGCCAAATATTTAGATATTCGCATTTGACCTTGAGATGACCTTACGCTGACGTTGACTTTAACATCAGGTCACTCAATCAGTGATCGCTAATGGTCACAGCAGCCCCCACAGAGTCTTAATACGCCAAATACGTAGATAATGACCTTTGACCTTATCATAGATCGGCAAGGGTACAGCAGCCCTAAGGAACTTTATATTACCAAATAACTAGATATTAACATATGACCTTGGAATAGCATTGATCTCAAGGGGCACCAATCATGGGTTGCCAAGAGTCACACTTAGATATTAACCTTTGATCTTAAAATGACGTTGACCCATAAACATTGACCTTAACCTCAGGCCACCTTATCATGGGTCGCAAAGGGTCATAACAGCCCCCAAACGCATTAAAATGTCAAATACCAAGAAATCAATCTCTGGCCTTGGAATGACCTTGATCTCAGGTCACTTAAGCATGGGTCGTCAAGGGTCAGTTGTCACATTTCGATATTTATAACTGACCTTAGGCCTAAGGTCTCATTAATAAATGGTTTCCTTTTACACCCGACATTAGGCCTAAGGTCTCGTAGATATATCAAATATTGTTAATTAATCGATCTTAGGCCAAGATCTCATTCGTGAATGGTTTCCCTATATCACTGGTGATCCACTCGATTACGCTGGTTACCAAAACGAACCGTTTTGGTAACAAAATGTCGGAACGTCGAAGGCACGATTTTTTTTTCCTTATTTCACGCGTTGTAGGCAGAATCCCCACGACGTTTTTTCTTACAACGTGCATCAGTATCATATGTTTTAGAAAATGTACATGTTAGAGATAAAATAGCTCAGAGGACAACAGAATCGTCGATTTACTTCCTCACTTAAGTTACATAAACGGTTTTTCGAAAAACAGTTAAGATCTGCACTTTTAACCCAAACCGTTTATGTAACTTAAGTGAGGAAGTAAATCGACGATTCTGTTGTCTTCTGAACTATTTGTTCGCAAATATGTACACTTTCTTAAACATATGATACTGATACACGTTTGTGTTAAAAAATGTCGTGGGAATTCTGCCTACAAGTGTAAAATAAGGAAACGAGAAAAATCGTACCTTCCGGATGTTCCGACATTTTGTTACCAAAACGGTTCGTTTTGGTAACCAGCGTAATCGAGTGGATCACCAGTGTATATACCGGACCTTTGAAGGTCTCGTTGATATATACTGTAAATCGTAATTTAACTAATGTTAGGCCGCTTTGGTGTCATCAATGAATGATTTTCTAATACAACTGACCTCGTGATTATCGATATAACATTTTAATTGTTAATCATCTGACCTTAGACCTAAGGTCTCATTAATGAATGGGTTCCTTATGATACGACGTCAGATACTGTACCACACGGCATTTTACGGCATTTTTACATGCCTACTTACTTTTAAAACCGCGATATCTCGACAGCAAAACCATATTTTTCAATATACCGTTTTGTGATTTGCATGACCTTAGGCCTAAGGTCTCATCAATAAATGGTTTCCTTGTACACTCGACCTTAGGCCTAAGGTCTCGTCGATATACCGTTTCGTGATTTACATGACCTTAGGCCTAAGGTCTCATCAATAAATGGTTTCCTTGTACACTCGACCTTAGGCCTAAGGTCTCATCAATGAATGGTTTTGGTTATATACCTGACCATAGGCCTAAGGTCTTATCATTGGAATCTTCAATACACTGACCTTAGGCCTAAGGTATAAATGACATACACTCCCCTCCATAAGTTTGGCAACCTTTTTCCCCCATTGAACTACGTGTTAAAGCCTCTTCACGTTTGAATTTTTATTTACTTAACCGACGATGAAATAACTCATAAAATTGATGGAAACGTAACTTGACTTTATTTCCAATACCTACAAATTTTCTCAATTTTTTTCCTCAATTACAATAGGTCGAAAATTGATGATAAATTTGATGAATTTTTGAAAATCGTCATTCCCATGTAATCCAATGGGAAATGGAGGGTTCGGGGCAAATCAGAAATCAGGATATCCTTTCAGTAAAAGATTCAGCAAAAAATATTTTTATATAGAAAATTGAATTGTCTAACTTTTTTGAACACTAAGTGCTTAGTTTATTTTATGAATATTTAAGTTACAGCGCTTCAAAGTCATTTTTGAAAATAACTTTTCGCCTACTGTGTTATTTCAATGGGAGAGGTTTTTTGAAAAACAATTTTGACTTTAAAGCCCTATAACTTTGTTGAATCTGAAGAAACATATCAATTTTTTGTTTAATAAAGTTAGCAAATTCAATTGCCTGCCTAACTCGTATTTTTTGCAAGGACTCGGATGGATGGATATTCTGTCATATGACTTGTGGCAAACCTACCATTTCTCATTGGTTAACATGGGAATGTCGATTTTCAAAAATTCATCAAATTTATCATCAATTTTCGACCTATTGTAATTGAGGAAAAAATTGAGAAAATTTGGAGGTATTGGAATTAAAGTCAAATTACGTTTCCATCAATAGTATAAGTATTTTCATCGCAGGTTAAGTAAATAAAAATTCAAAGGTAAAGAGGCTTTAACACGTAGTTCAATGAGGGAAAAAAGGTTGCCAAACTTATGGAGGGGAGTGTATTACAGACCTTAGGGGGGGGGGGGGGGGGTTAGTTGAGAATGTAACTGAAAAGTTATGTGATTACTATTCAACAAAACGATATAACACCTTAATACATTCCCATCCAGGAATTGATCATACTTTCAAATTAATGATAATTCAGCATTGAATGCGAAGGCCTCAAAAATCATGATACACTCTCGTTCTATTGAATCAAAATTAGCTATCATTGCATGATTTCTACCCACCTCTTCAGCTGGACTAAAGTTGACTGGAGGAATTGGTGATACGTAGGTCTGGTAGATATCGTAAGTGATGACCGCAGAAGCACTGAGAACCTCACTTGCAGCACTGGTACAAAGAGCCACAACAACCAGCATTAAGAAAACGAACTCACCAGCAGGACTCAAAATCTGATTCAGCACAATGATGGGTAGAAGTCCTTTATAATGAAAAATAGAAAATATGTGTCAACACTATCAGTTCTCATTCAACATAGTGCCTAATCGATTCTTGTATCCTGTAAATTTAAAAAGAAGTGCTTAAGCTTAATTGGCCTATTGGTAAATATGATAAATCAAACTCAATGGTTACTCTCGATCTACCTAACAAAAATTTGAAAACTTGAAAACTATATCCTCACCTTTCTCGATTTCTACTTCCGAGGCAATCGGCATCCCAGACTGTATAGTTAAGGCAAGAAACATGGACCCAATCATGACTGAGAAGCTCCATGGTATGACAAACCAACATAGTCCCCCTGTAAGGAACCCGTAGACGCTCCTCTGTGGCTTGGCGGCGACCGCACTCTGCCATGTACTGTTGTCCACGAACACTACGGCAAAACTGGCTGCCAATAAAAAATGAGTATAAATAATAAAGTACATAACTGGCCCTATCAAATGAATTCTAGAAATATTCGGCCTTTAGATTTAACACATTTTAACTTGGCAAAAGGGTAGTCTTTTTTAGCATTCCAATTTTCGCGTGGCCGCAGCTAGCTATGAAACAGCTGCCTCAACAAAATTTTACAGATATATATTCTTTTGGAAGTTAAAACTGTAAATTATGCTCCATACCGGTGTAAAAGGGTAGGTGTCCTAGGGTGTGTGGTCTTAATCGGTCCATATTTTCTGTATTTGTATACAATATATAACCCCGGACTATACTTACTGACGGACTATAGATACGTTGACAGCAGTGAACGAATAGATTGTCCGACTGGATTTTGGTCCAAGCTGTTATGTTTATATTAAATGTATAGATGTCGTATTATAGTGGTATAGTTTACATCTTATTTACGAATTAAAAAGCACTGCTTTCGTCCAATCATCTTTGGTATAGTGGTTAGGATAGTTCACTTTGGTGTGGTTCGAGTCCCACTCATTCCTAATTTTTGTTATTCTTTGAGCATATTCTGACTATTCTCTTCTCCAACCTTACTCACCCCATAGATTTTTTGATCGATGTATTTATTCTTGTTATTTGCTTTTTTGTATTATACAAATACATGCATATTGTTTAATCTTATGTCCTTTCTCTTCAATTTCATCAGCTTGAAAGTGCAGTGTAGCGAAACGTTTTTCCGACTTTCGTCTGCCATATTGGATTTTTACGAGTTCATGTGCATGCTTTAAATTGCAATTGTTTCTTATATTTACAGATGCGGGTTTATTATCCTCAAATTATAAATTATGATGATCACAGACACAGTATCATTTCTAAAACAGATATAGGGTGATCTTGCAAGTGTGACTTGAAAGGATGAAAGATGACAAGATCTTGCGTTGGATAAAGATGGCTGTATCTCTGTTAGTCATATGAGAAATCATTAGTTAAACTTACCAAAAGTGTGAATCACGGCCCAGAGTAAACTTCCCTTTGAGAAGAAGGTGAGGAAGTGGTCGTCTTCATTTGCTTCAGTAGCATCAGTCCCAGTGGCGCAATTCGCTAGTTTGTAGATAAGGGAAGCAGATATCGAGCCGTGTTCAACAGGATCCCTGAGATAGTAGTGACATATCTAGTATCTTCTGGACGATCAATTAGAAGATGTCTTACAGTAAGGTTGAACAAATCATTTCTAGTTATTTTAACGTTTAGAGTCTTAAAATGAATAAAGGACTCACGGTCCTGTGCTCACACAGTTTGGAACCTTCAGAGGAATGTATATCCTGACTTTCAAACAAAAATATTGATTTGGATTTGTAGTCTCGAACTTTGAGAAACTTAGATAGCACATTTGTTTGACCTAGTTTGATGACCTTTGACCCTGAAAATTTTACTTATTCAGAGCTCAGTAAGGTCTTTTGTGATTAAGCTGACCAAAATTTACATCCAAAAATCAATTTGAAAAATCATCTTTTTTGACCTTTCGAAGGTCAATGAAGGTCAAGTAAAGGTCAAATTCTAAAACTAATGGCAGATTTGAACTCCTGGCAACTTGTAGATGATTTTCAAAAACGGTAAAAATTTGATGCTGACATATATTGAGCAATATTTAGGGAATGCTTAAATCAAGTAATGATGTAATTCATTGCAAGAGATGATCAAGTATAAGGCAAACTTTGAGAAACTTGTCAATCACAAAACCTGCCATTGACTTTATACATGAGAAAGTTTGCTGAAAATGACTAAGTCCTACTTTTTGTCAAATTTTATAGAGTAAACCACAACCAGGCACAAAAGCTTTCGAACCCCTCACTCCCTTCGGTCGTTTGGGGTACAGAAAACGTTTGTGCCTAGCCCTGCGGGGTGTATTCGGTAATATTACCCCTGCTCTTCGGTCTATATTTCTTAAATAAGATATAGGGTAAAATGTTATAATGGTCATCTATTGGAAACTCTTCTGAGGTCTCCAACCGTATATCTAAGCACACTGAGATGCAAAAAACTGTGATTTGAGGACCTATGTTTCGGTTTTAGGAGTCAAGGATTTCATTTATGTCTACATCTAAGTCATCAAACAATTACTTTTTATGGATATAGTCCTGAGTAAGGACATTAGCGGTTAGTGATTTGGTTTTCTGAATAAAAAGTCATTTTCTCCTTCCCTACCCCATTGGAGCGCCATCTGGCGTTTGGGAAGTGAATCGGGACTAAATATTTATAAGGTAGGTCCTTATTTATCTGAAAACACGTCAGGGTTCAGTGGGAAATCTTATTTTAAGCTGGCGGCGGAGTGATTTTGACTTTGGTGATTTTACCAAAATTCTCTGAGAAATCTGACGATAGAGGGGGTTAGTGTCTTCAAGTTTATTTATTTCAAAAATTCGATGGACAACCTATGGTAAGATTGTTATAGCAGGCTAGGCGAGTCTCTTCCGAACACTGTGGTATGTTGCACTAGGCTTGGATACTAATCGTTAATAAGATACAGGGTAAAGTGTTATAATGGCCACCTATGGGAAACTCTACTGTGGTCTCCAACCTATAGAAATCCAAGATGGCTGCCAAAATTGGTGCCAAAACTAATATGTAACTATTGATTAAAGCTCAAAAACACTTAAGAACAGTGATTTTGGAGCCCATGTCTACATTTTAGGTGTCAATGGTTTCATTTATGTCTAAATCTGAGTCATCAAATAATTACTTTTTTCTAGAAATCTAAGATGGCCACCAAAATGGGTGCCAAAATGAATTTTGATGGCCATCTTGGATTTATTTGATGACTTCGATTTAGACATAAATGAAAATCTTGACCCCTAAAATGTCCAAACGGGCTCCAAAATCACCATTCTTCTTATTAGTGTTTTTAGCTTAAATCAGAAGTTACATATTCGTTTTGGCACCCATTTTAGTGGCCATCTTGGATTTCCATGAAAAGCAATTATTTAATGACTCAAAGCTTTAGACATAAATGAAATTCTTTTCCCTTAAATGTAGACATGGGCTACAAATTCACTGTTCTCAAGTGTTTTTTTAGTTTAAATCAATAGTTACAAATTCGTTTTGGCACCCATTCTTGAAGCCATCTTGGATTTGTATGAAAATTAATTATTTGATGACTCCGATTTAGACATAAATGAAATCCTTGACCCCTAAAACTCAAACTTAGATCCTAAAATCACAGTTTTTGTATCTCAGTATGCTTAAATATACCTACTTTTATATTGTAACTCACAATATAAATACAAGTAAATATGAGTAAATCACAAGTGGATCATCCAGCAGCTCCAATAATCGAGTGAGAATTCCCTCAGTTCAGCAACCAGGACGTTATCTGGGGAATATCATGGCGTCTCGGTTGCGTTGTGTTACAGCCTATTAACGTCCTGGTGGCTGAGGTGAGGTGTTCCTCATTCGATTATTGGAGCCATTGGGTATATATAATCGTGATTGACTCGCTTTTCAGTAACCGGATGTTACTATTTAGTCCATGGTATGAAATCTCTAGGACGTCTAATAAAGGAGCTGGTAGCACACTATAGCGCAGCGATATTTGACCTTACATTAACATACCTACATATGTCCCCTAATGATTTTTATTATAACCGTTCAATATACTTCCGGCTTTTAGGCTGAATTATGCCTGCCATTAACAGAGGTCAAAAAGTCACCAATAAATAAAATCCCAATTTTTCACAATTTGGAGTACACAATGCAACAGAAAATGATACAAAATGATTTTTAAATATATGATTTAGGTTTCTAAGGTATAAGTTTGAGGTTATTTTTCTTATCAATACCAAAAAATTTGTAATCAGTGTATCGACGTTTTGTATTGTTTCTCAGGAATTAATAAGATAAATGCTACAAATGAATCACTTTTATTTTGGAATGACAAATGTTTAAATTATGCTAATTTTTCACAAAAAGGGTCTCAATACGTTTTGAGATATTTACTTTTATTCAGCGGTGAAAATTATCAATAAAGGCGGGGCTATTGCTCTTCCTTGACTAATTGGGACTACAGCTAAAATTCTATTTCTCGTAGTTAGATATAGCTCAGTTGCTTATAAAACAACCATCAAGACTTGACCGAATTCATGAATAATTGAGAAAAATCGTTATCATTATCTTCCTAAAATTTGATTGTATCCAGCGGTAAGGTCAAAGAACAAACAGCAATCAGAAAACTTGATGATAGCCACAAGTAACGTCGAGGAAGAATTTCAAGGCGTTCGATTGCATATGACTCTAATTGATTATTAGATATGCCCTTGGAATATATGAACATTCCAATACCTCTGTAACATTTAATTAGATATAAATCTTACCTATTTGTTATTGTATTATGCTTTGTAAAACATGAACAATAATTTGTTGTTAGACCCTTTGCGATTATATGAAAAAATTCTGTTAATAATAAAAATGTTTTAAATGGTAAGAAAACTAATATGTTCCCAATCATAAATTACCTAAATATTCCACATAATTTTGTTGAATCGGCTTGGCTCATATTTGAAAAATCAAACAAAATCTGAAAAACGCACTTGAATAATTCCACTAATTAAACACCGACATCTACGGTAAAATTTAATAGTATATTGTTAAATTATGATAATTTATTTTTGTTCCCATGCTTAGAATAACGGTGTTTGTCTTATAAAATGTATAAATGTTCGAATCAAAATATTTACGTTTTTTGACCCCTTGTGATGAAAGACATTTTTCGACCCGAAAGCCGGAAGTTTTTTCAGCAAAGGATATTTTAAAAGAATCAAGACATGTACACCTTTATAAATATTGCTTCAAATGTTGCTGCGCTATAGTGTGCTACGGATCCTTCATATTCGGAAGTCATACCATGGACTAATTAACATACATGTACGGGTGAAATATTAGGATATTTATCGACCTCCTTCTGGGTGAAAATGATAGAAATATAAATTTCCCATCCATTTTGTTATATTGACGTCAAGGTTTGGACCATTAAATTGGTTGGATGTGCGACCTACCCGTTGAACAAAAGCAAGCCTGTGTCAAAGTCCAAAAGGTTGTAGAACACCTCGATGAACATGACGAGTATGCAGACATACGTAAAAGCAGAGGAAAAGTACGCCACGTAGAATGTGCCCCCAAGTCCGCCTATCAGAGTGTAGATAGCAACGACGATGCCAACAATGATGCTGGCTATCTCAAAGGACAAACCTACAAATTAAACGAAAAACAGTTCTTAATCATCATAAGCTTGGTCAGTTTTTATTAGGGAGGTTAAATTACACATTTTTTCGAGAACCTGTACGCGGGCGTGTAACAAATATTTTGAAAGTTGTGATTTCGAATGTACATGTAATCTCCAACTCAATGAAAGGTACAGTCTTATTGGGATCCCTTTAAGGACTTTCATGAAAAATTTCATGAAAACGCAATTATAGATTTTTGAAAAAAAATTCAAAATATTCTTGACTGATATGTGTATTTTCATTTTCTTGAAAAATATAGTGAATATTTTTGTAAAAAGTATGATTTCTGGTCCATTTCTGTAACCACTTCCATCATTGCAGATTATTTGTGAAATTTAGTGTTCTTTAGAAAATGTAGCAAATAAAGCCTTAAAAACAAGTAGTATTTAAGTGAATTATACATAATGTAATCCCTACTGAAAAGTATCCAGCAGATTTATGTGTGATGATGCACGATATGTGGCATAAAAAGGGATTATAATCAAGACCCCCATTATTTACCCGTCTCAATTGAACATGAACCATGGTTCATTGAATGGACAAATTCACTGTGAACTGTGTTCTCCACCACTTTTAGTGGAGGACACAGCTCATATAGTTTTTTGACTTCTTTGATATTTTTTCTAAAACATTTCTGCCACCATTTTGGATACAATGCCACCTATCAAAACGTACCGTTGTGTTGGATGTGATAAACAGAGTCCAGCTGTCTCTAGGAGAAAAGTAATTAAATCTAACACTCTTGGCAAATTATGGAAAGAAAAATATCACAAAGATCCCCCTGATAGTTAAGTTATATGTTACAAATGCCGGATTACACTTACAGGACCCAAAACATTCCTTGTAACCCTCCCCAACCAGCAGATGAAGGTGAAAAACAGATAATCCATCTATGAAGATACAAATCCCCTTTCTCATGACTACAAAGTCTAAGAAGAGGTGCATTGTTTGTGACAAGCAGATTAAATCTCAAGTAATGAAACTTTTTATATTTTCATCCTGCTTTTACTTAAACTATTTTTGATAGGAGTTGATCAGTATAATAAGTGACCAAATATGTGTAAAAGTGTTGATATTCATCAAACTTTAGGGGTCGGGTCAAAATATCGATGTCCGTCAAAAAGGTAATTAATTTCGTTAGGGGGAGGGGGTCAAACACTGATTTCATTAGGTGACGGACATCGATTTTCGTTTTCCTTAGTAGTGTAGTACTGTACAGTACAGTTAGTATTGTTAGTACCTCAGTGTAAATACTCGCATCTGATTGGTCAATTAGCGGTCAACATTTTTGCCTGTACCCCACCTGTGCATCATGGGATATCATATTATTGACCGCGTATGTTACTGTACTACACTTGTGAATTATGGGAAATATGACGTCATAATATTTACAGAAAAAAACATGGGAGACGGACATTTTGTAAACCTTGATGAAAGTGATATTTTGACTTTGAATAGAAACGTAAAATTAACATTAATTTACTAGTGAGTACGCAGTGATGTGCCGAAAACAGAGAGTTTAGCTACCACTGTCTTCAGATTTTCTTACAAAATTATTGCTGGCGTGGTTCGGAGAAAAGATTGTGAAATGAAGCCATGATTGATGACTGTCGTCTATATGTGTATTATTAGTTTCTTCTGACTAACAAAACAATTGTAGACCTCTCCATTCGGTCAACGGTCAAAATCATATACCTCGACTGTAAACCTTGAAACTACTGTTGACCTCGACCTTCGGTCTCTGTCAACAGTAGGTTTCTCGGTTTACAGTCTCGGTATACAATTTTGCCGGTTGACCTCTGGAGAGGTCAACAATTGTATATTGTTAGTACCTCAGTGTAAATACTCGCATCTGATTGGTCAATTAGCGGTCAACATTTTTGCCTGTACCTCACTTGTGCATCATGGGATATCATATTATTGACCGCGTATGTTACTGTACTACACTTGTGAATTATGGGAAATATGACGTCACAATGTTTACAGAAAAAAACATGGTAGTCGGACATTTTGTACGCGTTGATGAAAGTGATATTTTGACTTTTCTACACGACGAGTATAGCAACAATACAAATAGAAACGCAAAATTAACATTAATTTACTAGCGAGTACGCAGTTATGTGCCGAAAACAGAGAGTTTAGCTTCCACTGTCTTCAGATTTTCTTAAAAATTATTGCTGGCGTGCAGGTTCGTAGAAAAGATTGTGAAATGAAGCCATGATTGATGACTGTCGTATATATGAGTATTATTAGTTTCTTCTGACTAACAAAACAATTGTAGACATCTCCATTCGGTCAACCGTCGAAATCATATACCTCGACTGTAAACCTTGAAACACTGTTGACCTCGACCTTCGGTCTCTGTCAACAGTAGTTTCTCGGTTTACAGTCTCGGTATACAATTTTGCCGGTTGACCTCTGGAGAGGTCAACAATTGTATACTGTTGATTCAGTAATCATTATCTATAACGTTTTACTTGTTCGTTCAATCGATGCAATTGACAATTGCGTACTTCCGTATCGCGTTCTCATTGGTTAGTGTGTATGCCATATACCGCAGGTGAATCTGTCATACACCGCAAGTGAGTATGCCATATTCGTTGCGGAATATGACATATTTTTGTATCGTGTTTACCGCGTAATAATATCTTTCACGTAAGTATTTTTCGAGAAAATCAGAATTGTAGAAGAAAAGTCGATTGACAGTGAAGTTCTACCTTAAACCTATACCTCTCTCCAAAACGCAAAATGTGAACATAAATTATTTTTCCATTTTCATACGACTGAAGGGATAATAAATCCTTAAATATAGATTTGACGTAGATATAAACGTTTTTTAAGCGTAAAATCAAAGCATAACCATTAACTTAAAAAATGAAAAAAGACATTGCCGGGATTCGAACCCGATCCGTCAAAGTGACAGGCGAGCACTCTGCACTAAGCAGGCATTGGTTATACGACCGTGGGATTTAAGGGGATTTATTTAAACTGCTTTTTAGTTAGTCACGTGACATTCAAAATTTAGAAATCTTCGAAGAAATTTGTTTACCGGCGAACCTCTGAGCAATTGAATGAACAATCGTCCAAATAACATATTTATCGTGAGTATTTCTTCACAGTATTTGCTCCATTTGTTCATAATTGTATATTTTCAAAGCACAAAATATTACCAGGGACCCCGGGGACAACCTAACATTGCGTTTCGGAGAGAGGCCCGGCTTTAAGAGCATAAAGTTGACAAAAGCAAAAAATAATTTGCTTAACTTAGAATTTTTACAAAATATTGCTTTCAACTCTATGACATGCCATCTGTGCATTAATTAATGGGTGATGCCTGAATTCTGGTCAGTATAAGCTAGACTGCAAAATTACAGAACTAGTTTGGTATATGCAACACCCTTACCGTCAACCATGTATGTGATCATATCTAGACCTCCTTTCATAATGAGTGCACAGACAAACAGATGAAACAGGAACGACGTAGTTAGGAATATAGCATGTGTGGCGCTCCCAAATCTCGCCTTGATAATCTAAAATAGAATTTAACGATTTTATAGTTATTATAATAGTTAATTATAATTATTATATTGCTAGAAATTGTGGACTTTGATTGGCTAATTCAGCACCATGTGATCACAGATACCATAGTGTATTTCACAGCTCCCTTGATTTCTGAATTATAAAAGACGTATTGCCCGGCGTATTGACCGGGGATTCTGACAACTGCACTGGAGGAAAATAAAAGTGTACTTTACAATGATACGTGTACGTAATAATGTTATCTCATGGGTTTATATTTATTGATTAAAACAGATGTTTACAGGTTAAAACAATTATTCTATATTTCTTTGAAATGCAAAGTGATCGTAGAGAATGTCTAGCAATGATATAATAAAACAAATATTTCATTCTATGTTCGGGCAATACCTGTTGCACTTTCAATGGTTTTTGCAGCTCGCTCTACGGGCTGCGGGCAATACATAATAGTACCCTACTGCAAAAATCAGTGAAAGATGAACAGATGGTTTTGCCCTCCATAGAATGAAATATTTGCTCATTACTCTTAGCTCTATCTCCAAGCTTGACTAGGCTATAGAGAGCAATACATTAGCTTAAGCAATGACCTGCGTGAAAGCGTCTAAATACTCGTTTCATCTAACTTTGCTGCACACCCTACAACGTCTCGTACATGGTCTAATCAATAGAAACTCACTGTTCCTGCTTAAATTCATTACCTGTAAATACGTTTTTGCTCCCGGTGATTTGATCTTAAGTTCTGCTGCCACCATAGAGAAGACAAACACGGGTACAACTGACGCCACAGAGTACCAAAATGATCCAACTATTCCCCACTACAATGAAGAATCAACAACTATTCTTCCCCATACTTTCAGAATTCATCATATTGATAAAGGAAGAAACTTTTATATTAATATAATTGATATTATCGATACTTAAATTTTTGGTTGGGTTGATTAAGGGTTCCGTTGACTTGGGGTTGAGATTACTTGGGATTGAGTTGACTAAGGGTTGAGATAACTTGGGATTGAGATGACTTGGGGTTGAGTTGACTAAGGGTTGAAACGACTTGGGGTTGAATTGACTAAGGGTTGCGATTACCTGGGTTGAGTTGTCTTTGGGGTGAGTTGACCAGTTAAACACAAAAGGTATTAACATGATAAATGTCGCTTCCTGGTCATCTCAACCCCAAGTCAAATCAACCCAGTAAAACTCAACCCCAAGTAAACTCAACCCCAAGCCAAGTCAACCCCAGTAAAACTCAACCCCAAGTCAACTCAACCCTGTAAAACTCAACCCCAGTAAAACTCAACCCCTATTTTTTATTCATTGAAAAACTTATATTCCACATAATGTGAAAGTTTATTTCATAAAAAAAATACATAAAAAAGTTTTTATAATTCTGAGACAGTTTGTAAGTTTCATTCTCAGACCTGCCTTTTATATTTAATAATGAGTTAACCTCCAAAATGTCAACATGGTACTAATACAATTAGAATATGGGTCATTTTATTAATCTTGCTAATACATGTACATTTGTTTTGTTGTAATCCCTCTTGACACCTTATAGTTACATTTAATTACTTTGTTAATTATTTCTAAACCATGTAAAATTTGATTTCAAAAGATGTGTTTAATCAACTAGTGAACAATTTTCTATTCAAAGAATCATGCAAAATGCAAGATTTTCAGAAATGAATGCCTTAAATTACTCATCATAAAATTAGATTAGACATGTTAATAGGGTTGTTTTACTGGGGTTGAGTTTTACAGGGTTGACTTGACTTGGGGTTGACTTGACTAGGAGTTGAGTTTGACTGGGTTGAGTTGACTTGGGGTTGAGATGACCTGTCACCATAAATGTCACTATCTGATCAACACATTTACAATGGCCGTCAGAAAACAAGTTGGCCGCAAAAAAGGATCAGTTCTAGAACCTCTGTCATGTATAAGGATTTGAAGAAAATCCAAAGGGCAGTATGCAAGGAACTGCCATGACAAGAAACCGAGAACGTCTCACGATCACGATAACGCCAAACATTAAGATTATATACCACCGGAGTGATATAAATTAATTTAGTTTAATTATGTTGCATTTTGAGTTCTTCAGTGTTGATGATGAGTTTTTTATACACAAGAAAGTAAGTACTTACCTTGGTGACTGCCCAAGACGACACCACAAAGGTGGATACCCACGTGTATTTTGTCACGATAGATGTCGCCACCAAAGGAGCACTGACATCGGCCCCTGCATCAAAAAATGTGTCCAATAGCTGTGTATCTTCGTAAACATACAACCTAGAATAGCACAGAAATACTTTCGGGAGAGTTATCACATTTCGAATTTGATTTCATCAGTCAGAGCTTTTTTATTTACCAACTAGAAAACAGCAACTCCAGCAAATCCCACCGAACTAAACATGTTTCGATAAAAATTAAATGGCCTTCTTGAAAATGTCTCCTCTCTTTTCCCTCTAAGTATAAGCATACGAGGCCTAGGGTATATCATAAAGTTCTCATAATATCTCTCTAATTGTTTTATTTTTCAATACATTCTGATGAATTTTTTACAGAATGTGTAGTATAGAATGCTGTATTAATCTATCAAAAAATATTTGGTATAACAGAAACATTATTTAAGAAATTGTTGCCAAAGTAACCGGAAATCGAGGCACCCGGGGCAAATAAAACATCGTGCAAGAATAGCCCCAACTAACCATGTTTAAAAACATAATTAGTTAGCTATGAAACCCATCAAATTGTTAAATATGTACCATGTGTTCTTGACTGTGTTGAACAATTATAATGGTCATGTGAATTGTGTGATCTCATAATGGATGATCGTAATGCTTCATTAGAAGATATGTTAGAAACGGCAACTGTTTTGTCAAGTATTCCAAGGAAAGTCGATTTTCCCCTTTAGTTTATCTTAAATATGTTTAGACCACAAATAGGGGGGGGGGTAATTTTATTGATATCTTTGCAACATATTTGTTTTAGATCATCTTTAGTATGAGCAAAGGATTTTTCGAACTTGCATCTATGCATTATCTTACTCAGTCATTTCTGATCATTAAGCTTTGATTCTCAGAGTCTGGCATCACATCTAATGAAGCATGTAAGAGTTTACTATGTATGTAAACATGGTTAATTAAGCTCATTTTCTCAATTATTTCTATTTGCCCCGGGTGCCTTGATTTCCAGTTACTATGGCAACCATTGCTTATCTAATATTTCTGTTATGCCAAATATTTTTTGATAGATTAATAAAGTATTCTATACTGCAGATTTCATGAAAATTTCATTAGAATATATAGAAAAATAAAAAGATTAGAGACATATTATGAGAACTCGTATAATATTTCAACCAAATCCGTTAACCGGTATTTGAGTTATCAAAGATTACTTTCTTTTATGAAAAATGGCGGCCATTTTGATATTCAATCTTGAAAATTCCTTATCGAGCAGAGCAGAACTCCTTTGTCCCTAGGCATCAGCATATAAAATTTGAACAAAATCCGTCTACTGGTGTTTGAGTTATCAAAGATTAAATTCTTTTACGAAAAATGGCGGCTTTTTGAAATACAGCTGCAATCTTGAAAAACTCCTTTTCGAGCAGAGCTCCTGTGATCCTAGGCATTGGCATATAAAATTTGAACGAAAGCCATTTGCTAAATTTGTATTTGAGTTATCAAAGATTACCTTCTTTTACGAAAAATGGTAGCCATTTTAAAATTAAACAGCCATCTTGAAAATGTTTTATTGAGCGAAACTCCTTTGTCCCTTGGCATCAGCATATACAAAATGAACGAAATCTGTCTACTGATATTTGAGTTATCAAAGATTACATTTTTTACGAAAAATGGCGGCCAATTTGAAATTTAGCGGCCATCTTGAAAATCTCTTCTTGAACAAAGCTCTTTTGTCCCTAGGCATCAGCATATAAAATTTGAACCATACCCGTTTACTAGTATTTGAGTTATCAAAGATTACATTTTTTACGAAAAATGGCGGCCATTTTGAATTGAGCGGCCATATTGAAAATTCCTTCTCGAGCAGAGGTTCTATCACCATTAAGGCATAAACCTATAATTTTGAATCAAATCCTTCAACCGGTATTTGAGTTATCGCCCGGACAAACGGACGGACGGACGGCTTTCCTATATCCCCCTCGAACTTCGTTCGGTTGGATAACAAAATATGATACTAGTATTACCTTATAACCCAATAGATAAGGGCTATAAATGATGCAAATGCTCCAAAACAGATGATTAACAGAACCCCTTGCCAGAGCACAATAGGCTCGTCCATCTTCATAGAATCTGTTGCATTTCTAGATTTTGGTCCATTCTCTGGTGCCAATTTATCTAACTCGGTCTTAAGATTCGTGCATTCTGCATTTCTACGTATTCCTATTGACCCAGCTTGATTTAATGATACTGCAAATATGATACCGACTAATAGCAGAATGGTCTGGTACCCCATTTTGGAAACTGAAAGAAGAAAAATGTAAGCTTAATAAATTCTATGAGTTATGTGAGTTCGACTATTTGACCTTTTTCAAACAACATACCTTTTATTTGTACTGTGTTAAATGCAATCTAAACACGCGCAAAAGGTAAATCTAAACATGGCAAAATATTTAAAGAAAAACAAGGAGGTGACTTCATATTGAATTGCCACAGCCACACCTATTTGAATCATAGTATAACCTACGAGATATACAATCTTGACCCGTTTTAAGTAACCAAGTAAATCAACCCTTTTCAAAATAAGATTTTTTCTCACGTACCAACTACATCCGTTTACCTTGTTTCCGGCATTAGAAAGCTCTATGTGACACCTATTACATTTTCTCCCTGTAGGGTACCGGTTTAAAATACACGTAGTTGTCGCGATAAATGTCGCTGCTTGCATTCACCCTTGATTTGAATGACTAATGGACCATATAAGGTCAAACTATTCTACAAATGGATGAGAACACGGACATAGGCGACTTTATAATTGAGATTCTGTTGATTAAACCTGGGGTGTGGCTCGTCAGTCAGTTGCCACTTACCTTACGAATCAACCCCACCCAGAGATTGCACTAATAACTTATAAGGTCCGATTGCACCACATTTTCGGACGGAATGATATAAGTAAACTATTTAGGCCTATTGTAGTATGAGGTGGGGTCATTCTAGTGATAAAATGTTTCTTATCCGATACGATACATGTAAAATAAACAGTAGACTTACCTGTTGGGATGTTTCTAATTTTTATTCGTCATACAAAATTGTTCCTTTAGCTGAAGCTAAAACTAACTCTCTTAAGATTTCCTGTTTACGCCCTAGTGCTTTTTCGTTTAAAATAATTATAAAAAGAGACGTTCATGTTGAGATCGCGATCGTATCCTTTGAATGCACACTTAAAAATTCCTTTTGAGGTTAGCCATAAATCGATCTATAGAAGTGAACAAAATACTGTTTGCATTCCTCCTTATACAAATGTAGATTGAACCCTGTGCTAATATACTTGTTTTAGAGAATTCTAGTATCTAATGTACTTCTTGGTGGGGATTTTTTTAAACTTAGATCTTTTTAGAAAGGAAAGATTGTGTATTTTGTTTGTGCAAGTATATCGTTTTGAATGATGATTGAAATAATAGTCCATTGTATGGAATTCCAAGGAGGCCTAATTAAGGAGCTGGTAACACATATTATTATATACTAGATGCTCATTGCCTTATTCATGGTCACATGATATCATTAGTCATTATTACATTTTATCTCCCCTGGTAGCTGGGATTATAGGAGTTGAATGGCAAAATGTCTTTAAATGCCAATAAGAACCTATAGCATTAAATACTGAAATTAAAATTTGGCCTCGGGAGCATGTCAGTAGACAGGGTATTCCATCTGGAAAATATTTTGCACTATTTCCCTCAATGGCAGTCACTATTTGTACACTGCTACGGAAAATTATATGAAATATATTTTGAGTGTATGTTTTAGGTTTCTCAACTATTTTGATGTTCTTTTTCTTAGAAATACAAACAAATTACTTAAAATAATCAGAACATCAACTTTTTTGTATTATTTTTTTTCAATATTGGTGATGTAAATGGTATCAATTAATCGTTTTTATATAAGAAAGAAATATGCTAAGATTATTGTAGATTTTCGAAAAATGGGTCTTTATATAAGGGTTGTTCAAAAGTTTTGCAAAAATATGTCTTATTGTGAGAATAATGGACCAATCTTGTTCATCGTTGGTGTGTATGTGCCCATATCTTATTCCCTTACACTGTCAAAGTTTCATTTATATACGCCTGCTACTTAACATTTTAATTACGGTTGCTATAGTAACCACGGTGATGACGCTATGGTCCATATCATTTTGTAAAAGATAACTAGTAACGCATAAAGATCAATGATACTAAGCATGCTAAATTAACTTTAATAAACTGTCAATTTAAATATAAACAATTTCTAGTATTGTTCTCATGGAAAATGTGAATCTTATCTCAATCTTTCTCATCTTGTTTTCTTTGGTTATGTCAAAGAATGACCGTAAACATACTCTTCAAATACCTTGAACAAAACACCTGATTTTGTGACGTTATCAAAGTTCTCATGCTGAATTCAGGAAATATTGAAGAATATGGCTCGGAACATGATAAAGAATGGGGAAACAGTATATTATATTCATTCATGATTAAGACATAATCATTGCATATGATGACTCCAATAGGGTTTGCTAAGTATTCCAAGATGGAATAAGAGAAGGAAAATGTTTTTAGGGTAGCTGTAGTTATGAGAGGGCTTGTTATCCTTTAGGTAGGATGGTTCAGACATTGACGGTAATGCTAAAAGTATAATGCATTACTGAAAAGGAAGACTACATGTTAAGTACTGTATATTTAGATTAAATATAAATTAGTTATAATATAACCTGATTAACAGCTGAAAGAACAAAGAATCATTTCAGTCTATTAAAGGCATTCACAAAATCAATTCAATCTAATGACGTCTTATGTACCATGGGGCCATTGGTTCAAATGGTTAAGTCAATGTATCTCAGGAAGTATATTGATTATGGTTCTGAAATTTCACATAAGCTTGTAAGAAGGATAATACTATATTTGTATGAAATTTCACATAAAAATAATAAAATCTCTTCTCTTGAGAAGCTGTCGTGCAAGACTTTTCGAACGACGCTTGTACGTTTTGAGATATGGATTGACACCCCCAGGTGTCAACGATCAACAAAGGGGGGGGGGGGCGTATTGCTCTTCATTGACTTACTGTGGATTCTAAAAACCGTGGCAAAAATTGACAGATGAAGGAAAAAATTGCAAAAGTATTTAAACCTAGTGTAATCAATGAATAATGATGGGTTAGAAGACATATCAAAAATCTAGAAAAATCTAAGTAGTGGAAAACTTCGAAAATCACCATTTATACCCCCTGGGATACTTTTACGAGGGGGTACGATGATAAACCTTAATTATTCCTGTTATGTACCCCAAATCACATTCAAATTTTCAGGGATCATGCACCTATACATAGTCAGATATCATGGCAAGTTTGATATTGATTGGTGAAATGATTACCATGGCAACACAATTTAATAACACAAAAGCTGTAAATATTTCGGATAAATCCAAAGTTTCCTTAATACAATTTCATTTTGACAATATCAATCACAGTCATATTTATAGGGGTCATGAATAATGAATGCATAATGAATGCAAATAGTGGCTAGGGATCATTTCAAATAATCCTTATATCTTAACAGGTTGTTCCAATTACATTCACCTTTTAAGAGTTATTTTGTGTATGATTCTAACAAAATTAAGTTTGGATAAGATTGATACATGGTTGTTATGGCAACTTAACTGATAATGCTGTTTGTTTAGACAGATGCTTTGCTACTGTAGTATCTTCTTACTACAAAATTTGGCAGGCCATGTCTCTCACTCTCTGTCTGTTTGGATATCTCCTTCTAGACCCTTCAACCTTGAGTCATCATGCTTGATCAATATTCTTAGTGGACCAATGAGTATCCTATTAATGTCAAGGGTCAACATCTCGGTATTTGGCATTTTAAGATCCTTGGCAGATGCTGTGACCCTTGACGACCAATGATAAGGTAACCTGAAGTCAAGGTCAATGTTATGGGTCAAAGTCATTCCAAGGGCAATGATCAATTTCTAGGTGTTAAGTATTTTGGGCCTTGTTGACCCACTTGTATGGGAAGAGATTGCCAGTATTAGTAATGAAATTATGTTCAATTTGAATTGTTTTCAGTGAAAACAATTCAAATTGAACATAATTTCATTAAATGTACTTGTTAAAACATATTTATATCTACTCCCATTGTGTCTCAATATTTCTGATATGAAGTTGTTTGTAAGAGTCTGGTACAAATAAGTCTCCAAACTATTGCATTTGGTATTATACCATTGCATTCTAGCATCAAATGAATAGCATCGTTGGGGAAGCTAAAATTGGAGCTGTTCTTTTTTGGAATTGGAATAATTCTCTTTTTCTCCGGCTGTCATATGTTTGTCACATACAAATCTACTGATGGACAATCATCGAACACGTGACCTAAGACAATTCAAGGATAATCAAGTTATCCAAAGAACAACTGTATAAGATGCTATTTTATCCTATGCCAAGTAGAGTTTTAGGGAGATAAGTTGGTAAGATATATCCCGTATCCTGATTTTGAGGTTTCCATATCCTGAACCTCCATATATCTCCCGTCATATCTCCCGCTCCAGGGCATATCTTCCCGCTTCGAAAAAAAATTGAAAAAAGAAAAATGTGAAAAAATGTGAAAAAAATAAAAATTGAAAAAAAAGAAAAAAATTGAAAAAATTGAAAAAAAATTAGAAAAATGTGAAAAAATTGAAAAAATAAAAAAAAAATTGAAAGAAAATTAGAAAACTCTACTTGGTATAGGATAAAGCAGTTATGTACGGTCGGTTTGGATATTGGGTTCATCCCTCGTGAGATATGCACATCTACCTTCGGTCCCTACAGTCCCTCAGGTAGATATGTATATCTCCCTCTGGATAAACCCCATATCCAAAACCTCCCAGTACATAACCCTTATTTATGTGTCTCATGCATGACAAAAAGTGGTACTGACTTATAACTCATTGCTCTTATGACCATCTTAAGTTCTGGAAGTAGTAAGATTCTGGAGGATGTATTCATCTTAGACTTTGGAGGCTGTAACATTTTTAGATTCTGGAGGATGTTTTCATCTTAGACTCTGGAGGCTGTACTATCTTAGATTCTGAAGGATGCATTCATCTTAAACTCTGGAGGCTGTACCATCTTAGATTCTGGAGGATGTATTCATCTTAGACTCTGGAGGCTGTAAAATCTTAGATTCTGAAGGATGCATTCATCTTAAACTCTGGAGGCTGTACCATCTTCGATTCTCGAGGATGTATTTATCTTAGACTCTGGAGGCTGTACTATCTTAAATTCTGGAGGATGTATTCATCTCAGACTTTGGAGGCTGTACCCATCTTGAGACTCTTGAGACTGTACCATCTTAGATTCTGAAGGATGTATTCATCTAAGACTTCAGAAGCTGTACCATCTTAGATTCTGGAAGATGTATTCATCTTAGACTTTCGAGGCTGTACCATCTTAGATTCTCAGTACTGTCAACCCCCAAAGATTTTCTCGCGGGACAGATTTTTTAGACCCAGTTCCAAAAATTCGCGGGATTTTGCGGGACATCCACCTAAATTCGCGGGATTTCGCGGGACATTTAAGGGATTTGCGTGATTGCGCTAAAAGGTCAAATTTTGATCAAATTCGCGGGACCATTCGAGGGACAAACACGCTACTTGCGGGACAATTAACAGGGTAACCACCAAAGACTTCAGAGAGGGATAATTTTTCTAGACAAAGTGCCCTAAATTCGCGGGATTTTGCGGGACATCCACCTTTTGCGGGATGTCGCAGGACATTCAAGGGATTTTTAATGTAAAAGTACTCTTGAATCAAACTTTCAGATACTGATTTATCAAATATAATGCACTTAACTTAAGTAAACGTCAACACAATTCCACACAATACCCATAGAACTATTATTAAACTATCAAAAACCACGCTTAAGGTGTGAGTACCGTAATCCGACATGAAATTCAAAAATTCTTGTGAATACTTTGCACTTATCGCGTTCGTGACCAACTATGAAACATTTACCCCCATAGTGTTATATATCAAAATGTACCTATGGGTTCGATTATTCTACATCAAATTATGGGGAGTCAGGTTTCTTTTCGAGATATCAGTGTCCATTTATTGGAACTCGCGTTTGCTAACATTTGTTCAGTTCTGAGATGAAGGCCGTGACACGCGTAGTAAAAAGGCCAACGTTGGAACTAATCGTGACATACATCCCTTTTTCCGTAATTAAAATGAAATTTGCACTCTTCCTCTTTATTTTGATACCAAACGGTATGCTAGAAGCCAACTATGGTGTTATTTGGATCAAAATCATAGTTTTATAAGTGTACTATATGCTCCTTCCAAAGCTTCCAAAAGATAATCCCGCTATTCGCGGGACACTTGACAGCTCTGTCAACCCCTAAAGATTTTCTCGCGGGACAGATTTTTTAGACCAAGTGCCCAAAATTTGCGGGATTTTGCGGGACATCTACTAAATTCGCGGGATTTCGCGGGACATTTAAGGGATTTGCGTGATTGTGCTAATAGGCCAATTTTTTTTTTTATCAAATTCGCGGGATTTCGCGAAACCATTCGAGGGACAAACACCCTAATTGCGGGACAGTTAACAGGGGTACCACCAAAAACTTCATAGAGGGACAGATTTTTTAGACAAAGTGCCCTAAATTTGCGGGATTTCGCGGGACATCCACCTAAATTTGCAGGATGTCCTGGGACATTCACGGGATTTGCGTGATTGGGACTAATGTAAAAGCGTGTAAAAGTACTTAAATCAAACTTTCAGATACTGATTAATCAAATATAATGCACCGTTACATTGTAACTTAAATAAACGTCAACACAATTTCACAAAATACGCATAGGAATATTATTATACTTCATTGTAACTTATCAAAAACAAAAACCATGCTTCAGGTGTGAGTACCGTAATCTAACACGAAATTCAAAAATTCGGAACAATACTTTGCACTTCTGGCGTCGTGACCAACTATGAAACGCTTACCACCATAATGTTATATATTAAAATGTACCTATTCATATACTGTAGGCATGAGCTTTCAATTGAAAGCCCATGATATAGGGGTTCGATTAATCTACATCAAATTATAGGAAATGAGGTTACTTTTCTATATAGGGTTTGTAGAAAAAACCGGGTACTGGGTAGTAAATCCTCCATGCTGGGTTCAAACTTGGTACCCGGTCGAAAAAAACGGGTACCCAAAAAACGAAATATACGAATATACAACATAATTAGATCATTAGAAAACGTGTAAGATTTGTTTTGAATTATAAAAATGTATGTTACTTCCTTCAAAATTGAGCTAGAAGCTTCAAATAAAAAGCATTTTAAGGCTCTTTTCTTCCTCTATCATCATGGTCATATTTCCATTGGTAATGAAGGGGGGAGGGTGCGATCGCACCCCCTCCTGGCTACGCCAATGACATTGTAAGACGATTTGAAAAACAAGACAAATAAATCTCACTCTATTTTCAATACTTCGTACATGAATTGTTTTGATTATGATTTAAACCTGTAAATAGCTATCGTTGCTTTAGCAGAGAGGTGACGTGTGTTAATTTAAATGATGCAACGTGTAAGATTTTATTATTAATCATAATTTAAGTTATCCCAATTTTCGACAAAATGTCCACTGAATTGTAAATTGTTATGTCTTACAATGTCATAGGCGTAGCCAGGAGAGGGTGCGATGGTGCGATCGCACCCCCCTCCCCCCATAACCAATGAAAATATGGCCATGACGATAGAGGAAGAAAAGAGCATTAAAATATGCTTTTTATTTGAAGCTTCTAGCTCAATTTTGAAGGATGTTACATACATTTTTGTAAATTCAAAACAAATCTTACACGTTTTCTCATAATCTATTATGTTATATATTCGTATTTTTCGTTTTTTGGGTTCCCGTTTTTTTGACCGGGTACCGGGTACCAAGTTTGAACCGAGCATGGAGGATTTACTACCCGGTAGCCGGTACCCGTGTTTTTCTACAAACCCTTTCTAGATATCAGCGTCCATTTATTGTAACTCGCGTTTGCTAATATTTGCTCAGTTCTGAGATGAAGGCCACACGGGTAGTAAAAAGGCCAACGTTGGAACTATTTGTGACCTACATCCCTATTTTCGTAATTAAAATGAAAGTTGAATCTTCCCCCTTTATTTTGATACCAAACAACAGCATGCTAGGTACTTAAAATTAGGTAAACTTTACTCCTCAAAAGTGCAAAAACTTAGCTTCTTATAAAAGATAAGATAATCACAATATAGGGGATTGCAACAATTTCGGAAATTCGCGGAGGTCAGAGCCACATTTGCGGGACTTCGCGGGACATTGCGGGACACGCGAATTAGCCTAATTTTGATCAAATTCGCGGGATAATCCCGCCATTCGCGGGACACTTGACAGCTCTGCAACTGTGAAGCCGTTTTTCTTAAAGTTTGCAGACAAGGATTTTAGCATTTGACTTCAAAATGGCCAACAGGAAGTAGGTTTCGAGTTAAATTTTTTTCATCCACTCTATAAGTTATCCCTGAAAATTTGAAGGTGATATCTGTAGCGGTTTTGGAGAAAACTCCCGAACGTGCGGACGGACAGACGGACGGACGGAGGGACGGACATCTTGTTTATATGCTGTTCATGTCATCATCATTCAGTCCAGCTTGAAAATCTATTTGTTGTTGCTGTTGATTCCTTCTTATTCTAATTTTATTTGTCTTTTCCTTTCACTCTGTGTCTTCTTGGTTTCTTCTTTTTTCTGTTGTTGTTACTTTCTTGTCTTCTTTAGTTTCTTCTTTCTCTGGTCTTCTGTCTCCCTATTACTTTTCTTCTTCAGTCTTGTTTGGTGTCGGGTCTGCAGACGGACGGATGGACGGACAGACAGACAGACGGACGGACGTCCCTGGGCCGACAATATGGCCCCACACTATGTGGTGGGGACATAAAAACTATTGCGCTATTATGACGTGCACGGACCTGGGGACAACTAGAGAAATACGGATCAATTTTCATGAACGTCCCAAGTGGACTTCCTGACCGTTTTTCAAAATTCAAAATCATTTTAGAAATATTGTCCTCGAGATCTTGCTACCCTGTGAATTTTATCGTGATTAGATAAGGATAAAGAATTTTATTTTGAGGTTGACTAAACTTGAAAAAAATGTGACGCTTGTCGATTTTGACGTTGTAATGCTGTTTGCGCCCTATACTGCTCATTGTTTTGTTTTGGTATTTTGACGCCATAATGTTACCCTAATTGTCCCCAGTTTCGATGTGTATATACATTCATTGTGAAAGAACGGGAATATTTTTAGTCCTTCTCAAAATTATTTTCGTTCGTTAACATTATTTACAATGTTTTATCTCGGAAAGTTAAGAGTCATTCTCAGGTATCTACTGTTCCAACATTTCAAATTAATATCCAATAGAATATTTTAACAAATATATCTCTAGTTAGATCATTGGATGAAGATTATCAGAGTCAACGGAGGAATGCTTTGACTATGTGATTCTAGAAGTACAAAAGAATAGTACAAAAAGCTACTAGGGATCTACAAACAGATGAGCATATGGATTGTTTTATTTTAACTCAGAGTAGTCCCAAAAAGTCTCCTGAGACAAATATCAGATCTGGTGGAAGAAAGATAACCCCCTCAGGTGCATTTTCAGATAACCAATTAATAAAATGTTTATACTACAAGTCTCTTAAATATTTCAGACAAACTAGCAGTACAAGCAGAATGGAACATTTGACAGTTTTTGAAGTTAGGCAGAAGAGTCCTCTGAGCTTGGGGAGTTGTGAGGAAAGTGACTTCTGTAAGTCCAGGTTAATCTATTATTCATTATAGTAGTATTTTCTATATATCTAAGTTGAAGGCAGAATCAAATCTAGCAAGATCCTTGTCATTCTATATTCTAAAAATCTAAAGTGCATACTTAACTTCAGGAATACTAGAGAATTTTACCAAAGAATTTTACAATTATGTATTTTATTTTATATATATATGGCTTCCATAATTTAAACATTTTCCCGATTTTTGCACTTTTAATCCTTAATAACTTATTGATTTAGAACACATTGTAGACCTTTGAGACATATTGTATCTGAGATTGTAAAGAATAGATCGCTAGGTCAATTTTGGTTGAAAATGAAACTGCAAAATATTCAGAGTGGGTATAGGTATACAGGTTACATATCATACTTTTCAATAGATTGATTTTTTCCAGGAAAATGTTCAAAAACAAGCAAAAATGGCAATGGGGTAAACATGCACCCAGGGAAACAACGACTGAGCTGTACAAGTCATTTGAAGAAACATTTGGGAAGTGATGAGGACCAATGAGAGCTCATGCTTTCAAGGAAAAATTAACACTTAGCATAAACAATATCTGTTCTGAGAAGTAAGCCAGTTTGAATTAAATTTTTATCTCTATAACAAGTAACGGGACAGTTCTTTTAAGATTACATAGATATAATGGCTTCATATCCGAAACATGCAATTTTTCAAGATTTATTCCCCACTTAAAAAGGTCATTATTGCTTACTGAAAATCAATATCATGTTAACCAATGGAGCATTTGTTCAAACTCGTATTAGAATATTTCAAAATATCATACAAGGGTTTATCCCATACTTAGTAGTGTTATAGGTAAATAACATGCGGGAATATAATCGATATCTGAGGTGAGCGGGTGATATAATATATCTCCCACTGAGGTGAGCGGGAGATACATATATCACCCGCTCATCAGCAATCCCCGGGAATTTCTTTCGGTCCTTTTCCGAATTCCCGGGATATACTTTGGCTCTATTTGACAGTTTGATAAAATTAATTCATACACTTTAAAATGTTAAAAGCTGTTGAGTTTAAAAAAAAATCGTTGAGGACTTTAAATAAAATATTCATGTTTTGATTGTATCGTTTGAATTACTAAATTAGGGTCCCTACGGTCCCTCAGGTAGATATATTGTATTTTCCTCAGATATACCCTGTATCTAAAACCTCCCATTAAATAACCTCTATATATTAGGTATCATTGGAAAGGTAACAAGTATTTAACTCCCAGTATTTTGAGTTTCCTTATAACTATATTGAGCCATTATTAATGAAGAAATTCATATTCTCAAAACATAGGGGTTTATCATTTCATGTCAAAACTACTGACAATTTGGGCATATCAGTAAATTTAATTTTTCTAAGGGGGGGTTAGTCATTTAAAATATGCCTTATTCAATTTTAAAATTTTGAAATTTAGTAAATTTTGTTGTATTCTGTTTATATTGTTTATTTGGCTCAAATATCAAGATTTTGTCAAAACTTTTGAATTATATGTTCGTTATCGATTATTGTGTAAAATTGACCAATTCGCTGACTGTTTCAACACTCTGGTCCTTTCAAGATATACGTAGAGCCTATTTATACGTAGAGCCTATTTACATGGAATAATAAGCTTTACATTTGACACCGGGAGATTAATTGTTCACTTTTGATAATGTACGTGATTGATATGTTCGTTGCTAAATATTACGAAACAGCGGATATGAAATAGCTCAGTAGAAAGTTTCACACGTGTATTATTTGAACCCGCCATTTTACCAGGAAGCAGATTTGATTTAGATTTTGCAACTTTGGAGGAGAATTTCATAAAAATTGGTGAGTATTGGGTTTCCCAACTTAAAGCAATGTGTAAACTACTTATATGATTACTGAAATATCAAATTTCGAAAAAAACTCTCAGTCTCAATAAAGGTACATAATGAATGCATCTAGTATTTCTTAAAATTGTCATTCCAATTAGTTTCTGTGGAAGGTAAAACTTAAGGATATGTACGTTATTTTAGATAGCGTACATATCAGCATGCATTATATGCAATTCTAATGAATGTTGACTGGTGTTTATTGTTTTTTGTTTTGTAGAAATGGCTAAAACCAAAGCTGAGATACAGAAAGCGTATCGAGAACGCAAAAAAAGCTGCAGAAGGCGAACAATATCTTGCCAAGACAAAGGAGGCGTCGCTATTACGTCCCAAGCCATATGCTAAGTGATCAAGAACGAAAGGATAGAAATGAGAAATGTGGAGTGATCTTAAAACGCCATCGCCTCAAGAAAAAGCAAGATGCATTGGCCCAAGCACAGATTGCCCCCCTGGCTCAAGACACTAGTGGCTATGATAGTGTAAGCAGCATTGAACCTCTGAAAGTTAACCTTTTTCCTGCTGCACTGAATCATAAAAAAAAGTGTACGATCGCAAATTGCACGTGCTGTTGTCAGAGTCAACAAGAAAGTACAGACACTTAAGATCGAAAATAACAGTCTAGTAAAGAAGTGTTGAACACTACAACGTCGTGTTCAGAGATATAGAAACATGAATATTCCCAAGTCCCCTCAAACACCACGCAGTTCTACCGAGAACGTTATTAGGTCAGCAAAATTGTCAATAAACCAAGCAAGCAAAGTAAGAAAGCAATTGCTTCTTGGTAATTCAACTCTCGCAGAAATAAAGTCGGCAAAAGAAAGAATTGGACAGAAACGAGGAGGGGAAAGAAATGTGTTGGCCCGCGTGCTTGGAGGTAAAGTAATAAAGAAATATAGATGTGCTCAAAGATTTGGAAAAATAACAGGGCTCGGGAGGAAGATTGACTCTAGTTCAACGTCAAAATCACTCCTTACTGCTGATAGGTTCTCAAAACAACGTACATGTATACGCAAACGATTTTCTGATGTTTATTTAGCATTTATGACAAGAGATGACAATAGTGGGATGGAACCAGGGAAGGCTGACTTTTTGGAAATGACCGATGGAGAAAAGAAGCAGCGCAGAGAGTTAACTGATTATCTGGGAAATTTGCATCTGAAATTCCTTTCAGAAAATCTTTCAATAAAGATGTCCAGGTCCTCATTTTGTAGTATGAGACCAAAATATATCAAGCTGGTATGCTTCCTCAGTCGAAGTAGCTGCCTTTGCACGAAACATCAGAATATGACACTCGTTCTCAAGGCACTGAGGAAAATAATGTCAATGTACCTGCAAATCCAGAGACTTTCCTTAAAAATGAAAGACCAACTCTCGAGGAAATTCGTGACAGTTTGCCAGAAGATATTAAATATAGACAGTGGAAGAGAGTTGAAGACAAAGGCAAAAAGAAAACATCATGAAAATAGTTGAAAGTGAAAAGGAAAGAGGAGAGTTTATCGAATTCCTTACAAGCATGGACAAGGTCACGTCGATAGAGTTAAAACCCAGTACACTCAGCTGTAACATCTAAAGGAGAACTTGAAAAGTGATGAAATGATTGTCCAGATGGACTTTGCTGAAAATTACGCTTGTAAGACTGTTGATGAAATCCAAAGCGCATATTCATGATATTGGAACCAGGTGGGTGTAAAATACACTTTTGGACAGACAGCCCTACTTCTCAATACAGGAACAAACAGATCTTCCTCACAGTTGAAAACTTCAAAGATATGTATAATGTTGAATGCAGCTGGAGCTACCAAGAAGTAGGACAAGGTAAAGGTCCATGCAACAGACTTGGAGGGACCACAAAGCCGTTGGCCGACTAGGCTGTTTGTGCAGGCAGAGTGGCCATTGGCGATGCTAAAGAGTTCTATTCGTGGGCGCATTCATCTTCAATAAAAGAAGTAAAGTTCATATTTGTGTCTACCGAGGAATGCTCCAAATCTGCAGCTAAGCTAGAGAAGCGCTTGGTCAAGCCTTTGAAAGGTACTTTTAAGTTGCATGCTGTAACTGGCCTAGGTGATGGTACCGTTGCATCGAGCGATACAAGTTGTTATTGCGATGTTTGCATCAATGGGGATTTCTGTGGTAAATGGACAATAGTTAAGGAATAAGGATCTTGTATATAAAACATTCACTAAATTATTTAATGTATGTGTTTTGCCTGTTCTCCATTATGGAGTAGGTGTTTGGGGAGCATACGATTGTTCAACAGTTTGCAATAATGTATATAACAGAGCTCAAAGATATTTTTCTGGAGTTCATAAATTTGTACCACTTGATGCATTGCATGGTGATTTTGCTTGGACTCCCTTAGAAATTGAAAAAGATCTGGAGATTATTCGAACCTTTAATAGAATGATAATGATGCCAGATAATAGAATTACCAAACAAATATTTAAATGGGATAAAACTGTAAGTAGTAAATGGAGTCAAGAGCTCCAAAAAATTTAAAATAGATGGGATTGTCAAGATAATTTTGAGAATTTAGAGTATTGTTATATAGAAAAAGTCAAAAAGAAACTACTGCTTACATATGAAACAACTTGGAATGATTTAGTACACAAGAAACCAAAATTAAGAACATATGTCAAATTCAAAACCTCATACAAAACTGAGTCATATTTATTGCTAAATTTATCGAAGTTGGAACGATCTTTAATTGCACAATTACGTATGGGAAATTTATCACTGGAAATTGAAACAGGCAGATTTAGAAATGAAAAATTGGAAAATAGAAAAATGTACTTTATGTAAATCTGGCAACATTGAGGATGAGGAACATTTTATTTTTAATTGTACATTTTATAAGGAAATAAGGAAAACATATTTACAAAATCACCAAATTTTTGAAGAAACAGAATTAACTACGGATCAAAAGAAGAAATGCCATTTATAATGTAAATTGAATTTAACTGCATGTATGTGTCTAAGAAATTCATGCTAGTATTTTTTTAAATTGTTTGTTATGAATCTAATTGTAATTTTTAACATTAGTGGTTGATAAGCCCAAGTGGGCTGGGTTGCTTTTTATTACTTTTCTTTTGTATTGTATTGTATTGCATTGTATTGAACCTACCACTGTAAATAACAATAAAACTAAACTAAACTAAACTAAACAAACAGTTAACCTGAAAGTAAAGTATGCAAACGTCAATGATGGCCATGATAAAAGGCCGGAGATTGATTCCCAAGAAACTTCTCCCAGAAAACAAGTTGACCTATCCCATGGATCAAATGGAGTGGAACAACCAAGTATGATCGATGCTGTCCTACTCCCTGAATCAGATGAACCTCTGGCCAATGCGAGGAATTTCTCTGTTGATGACCATGTAGCTGCATGGTATGAGGGCAAGTGGTACATACTAACATGGGGAAGATAGTTATGTTGACGGAAGTGAATATGAGGTGTCATTCATGGAAAAGAAATGACAATTTTTCCAATGGCCTGGTCAGATGGATATCATATAAGTGGACGAAAAAAGATCTTATTTGTAAAGTACACGAGCCAAAGCCAACTGGCAAACATGCCCACATGTTTAAAATAACTGGGGATGACATGGAACATATTTTATCTTGTATTGGTTAAAGAGCACGTAGTTCAGCGTTATGTACGTTATCGTACCACATGACTGCAAATAAACTTGCATAAAAGTGACATGGTTATAGCTTAATAGTGAGATACCGAAACAGCATTGTGTTAATGAACGTTTTGAAATGTACATTATCGATTTTTGTTATATCGAGAATTACTCAAAAAATGATTTTTCTTTAAATTAAATACTAATTACATTAAGATAATGTCAGACCGTGATATAGCTTTACTCACTATGTGATTTTTGTCATAATCAAAATATTGATTTTTGATTGAAATGTACTTTATGATGGAGCATACCTCAACTGTAAACCTTGAAACTACTGTTGACCTCGACCTTCGGTCTCTGTCAACAGAAGTTTCTCCGTTTACAGTCTCGGTATACAATTTTGCCAGTTGACCTCTGGAGAGGTCAACAATTGTATATTACCGGAACTTTAACTTGGCCACGTATATGTGACGTTGCATAAGCACATTACAGCCTCGTTATTTTTGCAAAGTCATTGTTTAGGTTGGTTCTACGTTCCTGGCACGTGATATTTAAGTCAAATGTAACGTTCTTTAAACATCTGTGCGAGTCCACACCTTCCTGTACCTACAACGTTCCATATCAACGTTACCAGAACTTTAGATTGGCCACGTATATATGACGTAATGTAAGTATGTTACAGTCTCATTATTTTGGCGACGTAAATGATAAGGTCGCTACTACGTTCCTGGCACGTGATATTTAAGTCAAATGTAACGTTCTTTAAACATATGTGCGAGTCCACACCTTCCTGTACCTACAACGTTCCATATTAACGTTGCTACAACTTGAGACATATATTCTAACGACGTTATCACAGCGTAAATTTGTTAGCTGGGTCAAGTTTGAAATCTGAAGAACATTGTGAAAGTCAGCTTGAACTCTGATTGTTTGAGAGAGTCAGTTTGAACTCACATTTGTGAGTCAGCTTGAACTCTTGAGTATGATCTCTTAAAACATTATATATGCAAGGTGTCAGTTTGTAACTCATAATAAATGTGACATCAGAATGATGTTTTACTGACCTATTATTGTGTTGATACAAAGAAAATAAGCTGACAAAATTGTGAAAAATGCTTTTACAACAAGTACAATAATGTTATACCTCAAAACAGGCATGGAAAAATTGCTTCCTTGGGACAAATTTTCAAATCTAATGCAAGCCCTGATCTGTGTAGATTGTAATTAGGCTAATGATTGAATATTGCAACGTAAGTAATAAAGATTTATGTATGTACAACTTACGGTCAAACGATGAATGTTTTCTCTGTAAAAAAGTAATCTGGAGAAAAATAAGGATTTCAGAATTCAATGAAACAAAAAAACAAAGGAGTTTTTCGTGAAAATTGACTTGAACAAGGCACAGACGTGAACAATATCGTACCTAAAACACAGCATTGTGGTCTTGTTGACCAAGAAAGCAAGATGGCCGCAGAAAAGTTAATCAGCTCTAGAACTTATCACTGTGTAACATATGTAAAAATTTGAACAGTTTGGCTGGAAACCTGTAGACAAGCCTCGATAGACAAGGTTTTAGGACGGAAAATCTAAAATGGCAGCCTTAACATTTACCCAGAATGCCCAAAAACTAATCAGTTCTTGACGTTGATATGTAGAAACATCCCTGAAAATTTCTAAAAATGGCAGCCTTAACATTTACCCAGAATGCCCAAAAACTAATCAGTTCTTGACGTTGATATGTAGAAACATCCCTGAAAATTTCAGATGAATCCCTCAAATGGTTTGGCTGGAAACCTGTAGACAATTATAAGTGACATCTATAAAATAATGCGACTTATACATATCACTTTTCCTGTTGACGGCTGCTGAACAACACAGGCTACAGCCTTCTCTATGTAAGTATAGTTTATTTCTTGGTAATATACTGGAAAATGATAGTCCTTGGTGGACAAATGGTGGTGGATACCCTTGGTGGGTATCTCATATTACATCCTTGGTGGGTGCCGTATCCTTGGTGGGTACTGGGGGTAATCATTGGTGGATCGCACTTCTTGGTGAAGTACAATGAAACGGATTTTACTTTGATATCTGTGATAGATCGCTAATCCTTGGTGGGTGGTGGTTTTTTCGATCCTTGGTGGATCTTGAAAAGGTTATCTCTGATGGGCGATTTAGCAGCCTTGGTTGACAATATTTCATGGCTGATGGATTTGATAACCACCTGGGTGTGGGTTTTATATCAAGGACCGTGGTGGGTGGATCTCTTTTAGTAACAAATGGGTGTGGTTGGATATTTAAACTCCATTGATGTTACTATTGTTGTTTTAATGTATTTTATTGATTGTATTGGTATTTGTAATGGTTTTAGACCTTTTAGATATTTTTGGCGTAATATTACTGGAGTTATATTTGGATTTTGCTTTGACCTGTATATATCACTGGCTTTGTTGGCTCGCTTGCTACTAGTCGGTTATGTTGACCTGTGTTTTTTATACATAGGCGGTTATTTCTGGCCTTGGAATTTGAGACTTTCTCTGCTGATTGTTGGAGCCTGTATACGACCTTTGCCTTTTTGGTGATTTATTAGGTCTTATGTTAAGGGGTTTGTTTATTCCTCTAGAACTTACCACTTTGTTGCTGGCTGATTTGATGTATGAATAAATTTTCAATAATCCATTCTTCCAGAAACAGTACTATGGCCACCCCTTTTGAAATATTGAAGAGGAGGCACACGGTTCCACCAGAGTGCCTAATCCAGTTGGTCAAACAGATCAGATCCCTCAATGGGGAGGACGTGTCTCCGTTTAATAGATTTACTAAGGATGCGTCTCTGGACCAGGCAAAGGAGGCGTATATGGATAAGAAGTTCCTAGAGATCGTACGGGAACCCATAGCCTCTATATTGGAGATGTCGGGGGTTGACGCAGGTGTGGACGGGAAAAAGTTAGCGTGCCACGTTGCTATTCAGCTAGCGAATAAATCTGACGCTAGGGGTGATGTATTGCTGCCAGAAACAAGCACTAGTTCTGCACCTGATGCCTCAAATCAGGTACCCGCTGTTGTTGTTAATGTTAAACTTAAAGGTTATTGGCGAGATTTATTTATTTATTCCCATTATATATGGATTTAAATAATTTATGTGTTTGGTTAGAGGTATTCTATATGCTGCCGTTGCTCTCCACACTTTCCAAAAGTGTATCACTTTAACAGCAGGAATAACTTTGTCTTGGACTGTCTAGTTGGATATCTCTTATTATGGGGCACATTATGCTTCAATGGGCTTTGTTATTTACCGTTCTCCTATTGCCCTCTTTTGGGAGGATGACAGTTTCGGAAAAGGATGTTACATTAGATGGGACACTCAATAGTACAGAGGAATCACTTAAAATGTATAAAAACTCTTCCTCCGGGGAAGTGAATGACGAATTTTATGGTGGTAACACTGATGATCAGTATGATCAGGGGGATGGCCCTATAGAAGCCCTTCTGACTGCAATGAAGGTGTTGGACTTGCACGTGGGAAACAGGTTGTGTAGTTTGCAGAGAGGGTATGGGAAATTGTTAAGAGCTAATGGACGGATAGAGGACTATCTAAAAAAGGGCAGGGGTGCCCTAAGGCGATGTATCTCTGGCAACGGTAGGCATATTACTCGTGGGCGTATTGATTTGTGTTATTTTTATTATTATTCTCATGGATATGATGTCTCCTGCTTGATCGTTTGGGTTATTTATACTGGTTCATTGTATGTGCTTCCAGCCGGGCAAGAGAAAGGCCACAGAAGAGGCTTCGGAGGTGGCGGAAGAGGTGAAGAAGCGTTTAAAGGAGGAAAAGGAGGTCAGAAACAAAGAAGCCGTGGAGACCCTTCTAACTAAGGTTAAACACCTTTGTACAGAGGAGAAGCCGAACAATGCTATGATAATAGCCACTTTGGCATAGATTCTACGTTGCAGACTTTTCACATTCCTGATGAGAAAATACAATCTTTCATTGGCGTTAGAGAGGCCATTTTGGGTCTACATACTGTACCTTTGCACATGCTGCAGAGGTTTGCAGGAAAATGTATATCTTTTCTACAGATGGTACCAGGGGCAAAATTATACATAAGGGAAGTCAATCTGGCAATCTCAAAGGCTTCTAAAAACAGTAAAGGTATACTTTTAGAGACTGCACTGGCTTCTGAAGTTTCCCATTGGCGTTTCTTAGACAGTTGGACTGGTTTCTTGCCGTGGAGGAGGGAAGTTCACACTGTGTTCAGGATGGCAACGGATGCATCATTATCTGGTTATGGTATCACAACTTTATCAGAGGGGTCGGTGAAGGAGTCTTTCGGTGATTACTGGGGGGAGGGGGATGACCGCCCAATTCACGTTAAAGAGGCAGATGCCTTGTTGAAGGGTCTCCAATCTCTTAGTGGTTCTATTCGGGATAAAAGAGTGGATGTACTAGTTGACAACACTGCAGTAGTTTATTCTTGGAAGAATGAGGGTTCCAGGGACAGTTCTCTGAATGCTCTTTTAAAACGGGTCTTTGAACTCACGGTTAGTTTGAATATTGATCTATGCCTGGAATATGTGCCATCAGCTGATAATCCAGCGGATCGTCCTTCTAGGCGTCTCTCCAGACAAGATAGCATGCTTTCACAAGTTCTCTGGACGTCTGTTGAAAGAGAATTTGGGCCTCATACTGTTGATCTTATGGCATCACCTGCTAATGTTATGAAGGGGATGGACGGAGTTCCTTTGAAATTTTTTTCCCGTTTTCCTGCACCTGGTTCGGCGGGTTTGAATGTTTTTTCCCGTGATATTTCCAATGAGGCCAACCCATATGTCTTTCCCCCCATTTGCCTTGTTCTGCCTTTGCTGAATCTTTTCTCTGAACAGAAGATTAAAGCAATTACCATGGTTGTTCCATTACTGTCACCAGCGCTGATCTGGTGGCCTCTGCTGTCAAGACATATTGTGCACATGGTCCATTTGGCCCGGAAAGGGGATGTGGGGATGATATATGTTCCAACCAAAAAGGGATTAGTAAGGGACATATATGGTCTTGACTGGGACCTTGTTTGTCTGAGACTGTCATTTCGTTAGGTTAATATAAGGCTTTATCCTTTCAGGAGGTCATGAATGATATTAATGCCAGGCTGTCTTATTTGGATGACACTCAGGAGATGTTGGCCTATTCTCAAAAGCGTTCCTCCATTAGGGATGATTTCAAAAGATTTTTGAAACAATTGCCGCATTCCCCCGTAATTGGAGATGGTACTCCGGAGGATATTCGAAAATTCCTGGTTTTTAAGGACTCATGTGGTAAGACACAGGTTCATGTTCTATTGTGTCCAAATATGGGAAAGACTGGTTTACAACGTTGTCTTTGTCCGAGGAGGTTGGCTTCAGGGACAGTTGCTGGAATTATACAACATCTAAAGAGCATTTACGAATTTATTGGGAAGGGTAGGATTTGGTTCCCTCATGACAATACGGGTAATCCTGCATGTGCTCCAGAGGTCAGATTGTTCCTCAAGGCTATCAAGGAGGAGCAGGCTTCTAGCCATGTTCTGCCAAAACAATCGAAACCTTTGTTTGTTAGAAAGCTTAGGCTACTCTCCATATTTATCCGTAGCTGTCTTGATGACCTGAGTATTTCCTCTAGGGACAGATTTATATTTGCTCGTGACCAGGCATTCTTTAAGATTCAGTTTTTTGGGGGTGATAGGGCTGGTGATTTGACCCTTACTAAATTGCAAGAGGTCAAACAATTGCCGGGGGATGATGGGGTTTTGCTTTCTCATTCCTTTGGAAAAACATTAAGGGGTGATAGGAAGGTTAATTGTTTCGCATTGAAACCTTGTGAGGATCATGTCATCTGCCCTGTTCGGAGGTTGCAACTTTATTTTTCGACAATGAAAGGCTTGGGTGTTTTTCGAGACACAGGGTACCTTTTCAGGACCATTACTGAACGTGAAGTGGTTTCGCTGGATCATGTCAGTTATTCGGCAATTTATGACAGACTGAAGTATTACTTGAGATCTTTATCAATGGATGAGGGGGAAACGCCGCACAGTATTCGAGGGGGGTGTGCCATTTCTTACATGTTGTCAGGTGCGGCAGCAACACCTTCAGATGTCATGAAACATGTGGGTTGGTTTACGGAGAAAGTTCAGAGAGATATACAAGAGCAAATATATTAACAGATTTAGGCGTTGTTTCGGGTTCTTTTTCCAACCATTTAGGTAGCGCTTCAGCTTCTGATATAGAGTCTAAATTTAAGAAATATGGGGATGTTTCTAGTTTTGATAGCTATCAGTGATGTATATATGTTATTTAATAAACTCATTTTCTTGATATACTCTGCCATGAATGGTAGGTGCCTGTTTTATTATGTAAAGTGTTTTTCACTGACTGTTCATGATTGTGCCATGCTACTTTTCAAGAAATATACGTCATACTATTTCTTTATTTCAATCATCTGTTTTGTTAAATGTTTTATTAGTTTTGGAGAAAGGGAAATAGGATACTTATGAATGCTTACAGTTCAAGCATATTTGCTGTGAATGAGGGATACAGATTTATCATCCAACACTAAGTCAAGTGCTATTGAATAGAGATCACTTATGATGTGTGATGATTATAAGTGACATCTATAAAATAATGCGACTTATACATATCACTTTTCCTGTTGACGGATGAATGGAATACCACATACTGTGCTATCGAAATGTTTACATAGCAATGGTCACAAGTGAGGGGGCAATTTTTTACCCCCCCCCCTCCCATACCCATAACTTGGGTCTTGTTCAATAGCATAGCAATATGTATCATTTCTTGATACAGATTTATCATCCAACACTAAGTCAAGTGCTATTGAATAGAGATCACTTATGATGTGTGATAAGTCTTGAAAGTGAAGATTTTAGGACGGAAAATCCAAATGAATGCCCAAAAACTAATCAGTTCTTGACGTTGATATGTAGAAACATCCCTGAAAATTTCAGATGAATCCCTCAAATGGTTTGGCTGAAAACCTGTAGACAAGTCTTGAAAGTGAAGATTTTAGGACGGAAAATCCAAAATGGCCACCTTACAATTTACCCAGAATGCCCAAAAACTAATCAGTTCTTAACGTTGATATGTAGAAACATCCCTGAAAATTTCAGATGAATCCCTCAAATGGTTTGGCTGGAAACCTGTAGACAAGTCTTGAAAGTGAAGATTTTAGGATGGAAAATCCAAAATGGTCACCTTAAGATTTACCCAGAATGCCCAAAAACAAATCAGTTCTTGACGTTGATATGTAGAAACATCCCTGAAAATTTCAGATGAATCCCTCAAATGGTTTGGCTGGAAACCTGTAGACAAGCTGAAAAGTGAGACGCCGCCCACCCGCCGCCCGTCAAGCTGACTACAATATCGTACCTTTTGTTAGGTACGATAAAAACAAGGGTATCTTTTAAAAATTATTAGCAGTTTTGTATGTCTGAACTAAACTGCTGACCCTTACAACCATATGATATCTTCAACATCACCACTGAATATGTATAACCAAAAGGTTAAACCGGGTCATATCTGACTAGATGCTAACAGGTAAAACGTTTTGAAAAAAATGAAGAATTGGTTTATCTTATTTTTTCCAGAAAAGCAAAAACAACTTTCAGATGCAGGGGCCAAAGCACATTGCATCACGATGCGAGTCATGCAAACTCTTTGGCACAACCAAAGAGCAACCAATTGTGAAAGGTGGGTGTTTACAGGTTTACAGGTCCAAATGGGATGAGTACTGAAAACCATGATTAAAGCTATGTTAAATTGCATGATCATAACAAGATTTTTATTGTAAACTCCTGATTTATTTTTAGTTATCCTGGTTTTCTCCCGATATTTATTGTAAACTCCTGATTTTCTCCCAATTTATTTTTAGTTATCCCAATTTTCTCCCAACTAGATTTATTGATTTATTATAGGCCTAGGTGATACTTTAAATTATTAAATGCTGAGTTACAGAGTTATAGAAATGATTAAAATAATATTCCAAGTATCAGATCCAGTTGAGCAAGGCTCAAAGAAGGCTACACCGACGCCACTCCTGACCCCAGTAGAGAAGACCACTCCAGTGATGTTTCATGGTCATGATGACATGCGTGGTAAGTTCGCATTTTTTACATTGGTCTTTAGCTAGATGAGGCACATTTGATTGCAATGAGTTCCTCAGGTTAAAATATTGCTAGATCCATTTTGTTATGGTGACTGCAGACAGGATTCCATTGAGCAATTCCAAAACAACTAATATGTGATTTAACTAAAGATCTTTAAAAAAGTTTCTATACAGTTTGTTTTGCGTTACCGTATGGATGATACTTTAAATTATTGAATGCTGAGTTACAGAAATGATATAAAAATTATTAAAATAATATTCCAATTATCAGATCCAGTTGAGCAAGGCTCAAAAGTAAAGCAGGCTACTCCGACGCCACTCCTGACCCCAATTGAGACGCCAACTCCAGTGATGTTTCATGGTCATGATGACATGCTTAGTAGTCAAGATGACACGCTTAGTGGTAAGTTTAATTTGTATTGTTGGCCTCAAGCTAGATGAGCCAAAATTAGATTTATAAAGACAATTGATTGGAATGAGTTCATTAGGTTAATATATCGCTACATCTAACATCTACAAAATTGAAGAATTAAAAAAAACTGCTTTGCTTAGAATGAGCTTTGTGTTATGTTGTTTTAATTCAGATGCAGTGAGAATGGGCATGGATTCGTTACGCAACAATTACACGATTGTGGCCAAGAATCTGTTACTCATCAATCAATCAATCTGAAGTTCGCCATCATGGTGGTAAGTATTTAAAAATTTACATTTTTGAGACCCCCACCACACATCTCCCTACTCTGAATCTCTGATTGTCAAGTATGTAAAGGGGAAGGTTCCAGACACTTAAGATAAAACTAAATTCAAATGAGTAATATATGTAGAAAGGAGAGAACTATGTAGGCATGGATGCTACAGCAAAAGTGTGACAAATCTGTGTGACTTAATTTACTGTGACAAAAACATTTACAGAAGAACAAATTCAAAGATACGTGTTCCCTTTCCTTGTGCAGTACTTGATGGAAATTGTCAACAATGAGTGGCTCTTATGATTCTTATTCCTAAAATATTTTATTTTTATTATAAGTTGCACTCTTGCAATTTCAAAGATATTATACTGTTACATTACCCGAATTAATGTGATATCATACCTCTATTTTAATTAAAAGTAATATTCTCATTTATAAAAAGCATTAGGCTTTAATATGTTCAACTAGTAAGGTTCAATGAATACAAAGTTTATAATGCTGTACACAAAGCAATAGCCTTTAAGCATCAGTGTTGATTGCCAAGTTTTAGCTGATAGAAGGTTTAATACGCTTGAGTGAATACCAGTACAGAATCATGTTATGCAGAAATCATACACTTATCCCACTTTTTATTGTGTTCGATTTGCACATTTTCAGCCAATGACAACTTTGTAATAACTTGTATTTGAATATACACCAATCCCACTTTACATTGTGTTCAATTTGCACAATTTCAGCCAATGACAAGTTTGTAATAATTTGTATTTGAATATAAACCAATCATAATTTGTGAGCTCCTAAAGGGACATATTCCTTTTAGCATGAGTGTAAAACTTGATTTCCAATATAAAAGCTACACCTAGATTTATTTCAATCAGTCCCAACATTTTGATACAAAGTTTTGCTGCAGTAGGAGTTACAACAAAAACAGTGTGAGATGAACATGTAAAGCTGCCAACATAAAATACCAATGTGCAGTTATCAACTGCACATTGGTATATTTTAACAATAAAGACAATTTTAAACCTACAATACGTGTTATTGATCTATACGCACATACGTCCACCTTCCAAGTGTGCTACAAATGGTACTGCGGGTGAACATTGAACATTGGGTGCAAATGCAGACAACAGCGTAATCTACAATCTGGTCGTCAGCGTAATCAACAGCGTAATCAACAGCGTAATCATCAGCGTAATCATCAGCGTAGTTATCAGCGTAATCAACAACGTAGTCATCAGCGTGGTCGTCAGCGTAGTCATCAGCGTAATCATCAGTGTGGTCGTCAGCGTAGTCATCAGCGTAATCGTCAGCGTAATCGTCAGCGTGGTCGTCGGCGTAATCGTCTGCGTAGTCGTCAGCGTAGTTGTCATCGTAGTCGTCATCGTAGCCAAGTGTGATGTCAACTTCATATATTTCGTATTATATGTGGACTGCAACTGCGTTCGTTCTATAAGCCACCCAAAGAAAGGAACAGTCGTCACTGTAGCCAAGTGTGGTGTCCATATCAGCATAAATATGTAAGTTCAAAGTTCCATTGAGACTAAAGCCATATTTAAAACAAATTCAAAGTGTAAATCCCCAGTGTTAAGTGTTTAACTAGATTGCGTAAGTTTAGATCAATTTTTAATGTCATAGTGACAACAATTGTTAGGTCAAACCAGTCAAATCATGGCAACTTCAAGTGATCAAAAGTCAGATTCTGAAGAATCGAAATCTTTTAATCCCCAAGAATTTTTCAAACTCATGCAATTACACAATGAAAAAATCATAAGCACAATTTCACAACCTGAAATCACAGTAGTTCCAACACCTGAAAGACGTTTGAAAAACTACTCTGGTGAATCTACACCACTCGAAGAGTGGATTGATAAAGCCAAATCAGCTATTCAAAGAGATTCTGATAAAGATGCAGTTCAATTTCTCATTAGTCACCTTACTGGAGACGCTAAAGTTGAAATAAAACTTAGAAATCCAAAAACTTCCAAGGAAATTTTTAATGCTCTCAGAGAAATCTTTGGCAAAACTCCGACATTAGCTGAGTTGACTAGATCGTTTTATACAAGAAAACAAAACCCAAGTGAAGATATCACAAAATACTCACTTGAACTTGTCAAAATATTCAATAAGATGGAAAAATTGAAACCTGATCTAAAAAGGTCCCGTGATTCTATGTTAGTTTCACAATACATTGAAGGTATTCACAACAGACATCTCAAATGGGAACTTAAGAGTTTCCTTGAGCTTCATCCTTCAATTTCTTTCATAGATCTCCGTCAAAGGGCAATATCCTATATGGAATCTATACAATCAGTAGACTCAGAATTTTCAAGTGATGTAACATACTCAATAATCACTGAAGAGTCTAAATCAGGGTCTCAAGAAATTCCAAATAGCAATGAAAAATGTATAATGAATTTAACTTCATCAGTTGCTACAATGACAAAATCAATCAGTGAAATGTGTAGTACAATGAAAGAGGTGTTAGATATTACAAAACACACTCAAATGATTGTTCAAAATCAAAGTTATCAAAACAACTCACAACCACCACGCATGGTTCAACCACCAATGTTTGTACAACCACCACACATGGTTCCTCCACCAATGTTTGCACAACCACCACCACATCAACATTTCGATCAACCACCCAGAGGTCCCAGACCACGGGGTAAATTCCCAAGGTCAAATCAACATTTAAACTAAATGCACCTACTGTCGAGGGTGGCACAGAGGTGAATGAAGCAAACACCCACACAAATGAAAACCAAAAAGAACAAATATTGTCAAACACAGTTGGTGATAAGCCACTCACGCAAGTAAAAATCAACAACGTAACTTGTACAGGTTTGGTTGATACAGGTTCAAGTGTAACAATTATGAATGAAGAATTTTATGATTTGATTTCAAACAGTGAAAATTTTGACGGTGACCCATCATGGTTGAATATAACTGCTGCTAATGGTCTTGAGGTACCATACTTGGGGATAGCAATGTTAGATATTGAAATACACAATCATAGGTGCAAAAACACTGGCATTTTGGTTAGGAAAAAAGTCCGCACTGACCCACACAATGTTCAAATTATCATTGGAACAAATGTATTAAAACAGCTACCAGAATTTCACTTTCTGCTTGGTTGTGTAAATACAAACAATGATAGCCAAAAATCTTGTATGGTTAGAGTTGATCAAGATACTGTCATTCATGCCACTTCACAAACAGAAGTCAAGGTAACCAGCAAAAAGTTGTCAAAAGTTAGTGTTTTTGAAGCAAGTCAAAACTTACCATCCAATCTTCAAATCACAAATATGCTCATTGATGCATCTAAAGGGCAATGTACATTAACTGTGAACAACATAGGTATACATGATATCCAGTTACAATCAAAACAGGTGATAGGCACTCTGCAAGATGCAATGATAGTTAATCAACATGCAACAATTGAATGTCAATCCAATGAGATTATGGTGGATGTTGTAAGTGACATAAAGCCTGAAATGATCAGCAACACAAATAAATCAACAAACACAATCAATCAAAATGACACGCCACAAATGAGTGTTAACTTAGACAGTTTTCCTGGTAATGAACAACAAAAAGCCAAATGCAAAGATGTGTTAGATAGATATCATGAAATATACACATTTCCCCAAAATGAACTCTCCAAAACAAATGATATAAAACATCACATAACTCTTGCAGATGGTATTCCTGTAAAAGAACCTTACAGAAGAATTCCACCTCAAGAATTTTCTGAGTTCAAAGAACACATACAAGATCTTTTACAAAAAGGTATAATCAGACATTCCAACAGTGAATATGCCAGTCCCATTGTCATTTGTAGAAAGAAAAATGGTCAGATCAGAATGTGTGTCGATTACAGAAAACTGAATTCAAAAACCATCAAAGATTCATATCCTATTCAAAGGATTGAAGAATCCATAGATAGTTTGAATGGAGCAAAGTATTTCAGTACAATAGACTTGAAATCAGCTTATTACCAAGTTGAAATGTGTGAAGAAGATAAACACAAAACTGCATTCACAACTCCAATTGGGTTGTATGAATTTGAACGAATGCCATTTGGTCTAACAAACAGTCCAGCAACATTTCAAAGATTGATGCATTATGCCTTACAAGACCAAATATTCAATACATGCCTAGTTTACTTGGATGACATAATCATATACTCAAACTCTATTGAGGATCACATATCACGACTTGAAACAGTCTTACACACGTTAAGAGATCATGGTCTGAAAATTGAACTGGAAAAATGTCACCTTTTCAAAACAGAAATCTCATTTCTTGGTCACATTGTTTCCGAAAAGGGTGTGTCTCCAGATCCAAGTAAAATTCAAGTTGTGAAGGAGTGGAAAACTCCTACAACATTAGCACTGCTCCAAAGATTTCTGCTGTTCAGTGGATATTAGACGATTTGTTGAGAAATATGGTCAAATTGCTGCTCCACTTCACGAACTCGTAGCTACGTGTACTCAATCAGCTCAGAAAACCAAAGGTAAAATCAAAAAGCTAAAAAAACGAAAAGCAAAAACACTGAACATATCTGATTATTGGGAAAACAAACACCAGTTATCATTCGATACTATAATAGAAAAACTAACATCTCCACCAGTACTTGCATACGCAGACTTCAATAAACCATTCATCCTTGAAACAGACGCAAGTCTATCGGGGCTAGGAGGGGTTTTGTATCAAGAAATTGAAGGAAAGAAAAGGGTTATTGCATATATCAGCAGAGGCTTGCGAAAAGAAGAGAAAAATTACCCTAGTTATAAACTAGAACTACTTGCACTCAAATGGGCAATAACTGAAAAATTGAGAGACTATCTCACATATTCCTCAACCATTGTGTATACTGATAACAATCCACTCACTTATTTCAAGACAAAAAGCAAACTCAATGCTACTGAACAAAGGTGGATGTCAAGTCTTAGTTCATTTGATTTTGAAATAAAATATAGAACTGGTAAAACAAACTGTGCAGCTGATGCTTTGTCTCGCATACAGGATACAGAAGAATCTGTCAATATGTGTGACATTGAAAGTATCCCGGGTACAAGTCTACCTGAGGAACTGAGATTGTCAATTATGGAAGACTTGATAGATACTCAGTCAAATGTAGAAATATCAGCCACAAATGTAAGTGATTCAATGACTGCTGATATAGCAGATAGTCAAAAGAATGACCCTGAAACTAACATAGTGTATACACATGTCCAACAACAAACGTTGCCAACCTACGATCAAAAATCCAAAATGTCACAATCAACGAAAAGTCTATTTCGTCATTTTGACAAACTAAGCATCCAACAAGGTGTTTTGGTAAAAGAAATTGAAATAGAAAATGAACATGTTCATCAGGTAATTTTGCCCAGATCAAAACAACTATTAGCAATTAAGCAAATCCATGACAATTTGAACCACCAAGGTATTTCAAGGTGTAAAGCCCTCTTAAGACAAAGATACTTTTGGCCAAACATGGATAAAGACATTGAAACGTATGTGGCAAGTTGTAAAACATGTACTGAAGCAAAAACAGACAATTTCAAAATACGTACACCTATGCAAAGCTTAATATCGTCTCAACCATTAGAAATAATTGCTATTGACTACACCAAATTGGACGAATCTGTAAGTGGTTTAGAGAACGTTCTAGTTATATCAGATGTGTTTACAAAATTTACCACAGCACATGCAACTAGAGATCAAAAAGCAAATACTGTTGCAAGGGTTCTAGTGAGAGAATGGTTCCAAAGATATGGTGTTCCTCAAAGAATTCATTCTGACCAAGGTCGAAATTTTGAAAGTGAGATAATTAGTCAACTGTGTACAATTTATGGTGTTAAGAAAACAAGAACCGTTCCATATCATCCAGAGGGTAATGGTCAAGTGGAGAGATTCAATAAAACCATGCAGAATCTGTTGAAGACGCTCAGCCAAGAGAAGAAAAAGAAGTGGCCGGAATACTTGTCAGACATATGCTTCTCTTACAATATTACACCACATGCATCAACTGGTAAAAGCCCATTCTATCTAATGTTTGGAAGGGACCCAAAGCTTCCAACTGATATATTCCACGACAAGTGTAGTCTAGACTTGAACTGGGTCACAGAACACCAAAAGCGGTTGCAAAAAGCATATGCACACACTCTGCAAAAGTTAAAAGTTCGAGCCTTACAAAGGAAGCTGAATTTTGACAAGAAAGTCCACAATCCAATCATTTCCGTGGGTGAAAGAGTTCTGCTCAGAAAAAGAGTACCAGGACGTAATAAACTAGTCAATACATTTGACAGCGTGACCTACAAAGTGATAGATGAATACAAGAATGGAACCTTCAAAATCATGAAAGCTGACAATACAGGTGTTGCTAAAGTTGTACAAAGAAGAGATCTCCGACTGATTGGATTTCAAGATGAGAATATATAAAAAATCAAGGAAACGTAAAAACAGCCTATAAATACAAACACAATGTACAAATGTTTTAATTGTTTTAATAACTTTTAAGTTTCAGTTTTTATTGTGTAAATGTCTCACCAGTTCTGCATCTCATTAAAACATTTTACTTGTCTCGTTTTCAATGTACTAACATGTGAGAGAACTTCAAATTGAAAACCATTTCTGAATGTCATTCTTGTCAATAAAACCAGACTAGTATCCTATTGTGTATTTAAATGACAAGTAAAGTATAATACATACATGTGTGATTTTTGTGTCAAAGTTCAAAGTTCTTCTTCACAAGTATTAAAAGCTTCAATGCACTGTAATGTAATTTTATGTTTGATCATAATAATCTTAAATGCAACAATGTGTTTGAGATATCACTGTAAGCCTCTTTTCTGTGTAATATGTAATGTGATGTTATGACAAAGTTTAAATATTTTTAGAGTTTCTTAAACAGTACTAAAAGCTTCAGTGCACTGTAATACATGTTTATATTTGTTCATAATGTTAGAAATGCATCAAGCATTTGTGAAATCACGCAACGGCACAATTTCAAAGTGTTTTTCATACGAGTAGCAAAATACATTACATAAAAAAGTTTTTTTCACTAAAATATGTAATTGTATTTTAACTCACAAATGAATAGGATTGCACAGTGCTCACACACAAGCAAACAAACACCTCATTTCATAATTAAAAATAAAATGTCAAATTATGGAGATAATGTTAAAAAAGTCATTGCAATAACTTTTTATTAAGCTTGCAAGTTGATATAAACAACATTATGTTGCCAGGTTCTTCAAACGTCCTAGCAAAACATATGACACTATGACAATTAGTAAGGTAGAAGAGACACTTAGATTTAGAGAGAGTAGGATAAGTAGTGAAGTATTTTATAAATAGACTATTATGTAAAAGATGCAATTATGAGTTAATGTTTATGTTTATCTAGTTAAGAGGAGTTTTAAAAATCAATTCTTAATTTACTACTGTGTATTCATTTTGGTGCAGTATATACTATATTTGGTATAGGTAATGGCTGTTGTCATAAATTAATTTAAGACCAGTACGTTTATTAACTGACGAATTTAGAGGAGGTAAATCTTTACTAAATATTTTATTAAGTACCAACTTGTGACCTGATAAGTAAAACAAAAACTATTAAAATGTGTGTTGTTAAAATAGTTCATTGTTTATAGTTTTATTGTATCTTATAAAATCATTTTTGTGTTCCATAGTATTATTTTAATATTACAGAACATTATATTATTTCACGTTGTCCGCGTGGGCATCAGGTTTCACCTTTATACTGTGGTGCAGAGTGGCTAGGTCAAGGTCATAAATGACTTGAACAATGTCCACGTGAATGTGATATCGTACCTCTATTTTAATTAAAAGTAATATTCTCATTTAAAAAAGCATTAGGCTTTAATATGTTCAACTAGTAAGGTTCAATGAATACAAAGTTTATAATGCTGTACACAAAGCAATAGCCTTTAAGCATCAGTGTTGATTGCCAAGTTTTAGCTGATAGAAGGTTTAATACGCTTGAGTGAATACCAGTACAGAATCATGTTATGCAGAAATCATACACTAATCCCACTTTTTATTGTGTTCGATTTGCACATTTTCAGCCAATGACAAGATTGTAATAATTTGCATTTGAATATAAACCAATCATAATTTGTGAGCTCCTAAAGGGACATATTCCTTTTAGCATGAGTGTAAAACTTGATTTCCAATATAAAAGCTACACCTAGATTTATTTCAATCAGTCCCAACATTTTGATACAAAGTTTTGCTGCAGTAGGAGTTACAACAAAAACAGTGTGAGATGAACATGTAAAGCTGCCAACATAAAATACCAATGTGCAGTTATCAACTGCACATTGGTATATTTTAACAATAAAGACAATTTTAAACCTACAATACGTGTTATTGATCTATACGCACATACGTCCACCTTCCAAGTGTGCTACATTAATATCAAATATTTTGAGGAATTTGGTAGTTTGAGCATGGGCTTTCAACTAGGGGTGGGACGGATAACCGAAATACCGAAAAACCGCGGTTCATAGCCTTCGGATCGGTTTTCGGATCACGGCCCTACTTTCGGATCAGCTTTTCGGATCGTTTTCGGATTAATATTTCATTGGTCAAGTATCAATAAAACAGTTAAAAACACTGTTTTACAGCAACATTTTTGATATTCCTAGTCCCTACCTTGTCTGTCTTGTCTGTTGCTAGCTCACTCGTTTACTAGATTCGTTTCGTATCCGCATATTCGTATCCCTCGGTAATCAATCATGTGGTCCCTGGTACTATATTCTTTAGTCGTGTATTCTAAATAATATGTATTGTTCATGAAATACTATAACATAAAATTCCATCTATAAAATATTGTTATAACGTGGCATAATTGAAACACAGATACAAAGCAGCTAATCATGTCAATCAATACAAATCCTTATAATGAATGAACCGAACCGAAAAAACCGAACCGACGGCTGATGATCCGAAAAACCGAACCGAACCGAACCGAAACGAACCGTCCCATCCCTACTTTCAACTAGTGGTACCATGATTACAATTGAAGTGCTCTTACCACTTACCGAATCAATCTGATAGACTGGCATAGTTTATTGACCAGAGGACGTTGGCTGACTAAAGTAAACTGCAGGCAAAAATATATTTACTCAAGTTATATACATCCGCTAATTTACTTTTTCTATTTTGATTAGGTTTCAGCAAAGATGTTCTCTCAACCATGCAGAGGAGAATTAATTTCCTTGAAAGGGAGAATAAGAAAAGTTTAAGAAGAAAACTATTTGATGAAAGTGATAGTAATCGTAAGAAATTCAAATTGATATATATCAGGTCTGGGGTAGTGAAAAACACTCATTTTGAATCATAGTAGCCAGCTTGGCAAGTGACTTTAATTTTATTCCCGCCAAATCAATTTTATAGCAGCCAGATTTTGACCACTGATCAAAACAGCGCCACACAAAAATAAGGAGTGAAGAATATGTAGGTATAATAAGCAATAATATTTCAAAATTCATCATTCAAAAAATCATCTCTTAGTAAGTTTTTTTTATCATTGGTCCAATGATTCTAAAAACTTATTCGAGTCTCTGTAATTTCTTCCTCGCTTATTTTCAATTGCTGGAATTACACCACAAAATCCGCTAAAACATTTGAGTGGAAGGCGCTTTACAAAATCGCCATTCTGATAACACCAACATTTCTAAAGCATCTTAGGAATTATATTTTGGAATTACACCTGTTTTTTCTAAAACGCCTTCCGTGCACTTTTAACGATGTAGTTATGGATAATATCCAGCATACATGTATGTGTACATCTCCTGTAAATGTATTCTCTTTGCATCTACGTGTAAAACAAAACTGATCTTCCATAATTTGATTGAAAATGCATGACATTGCATAATTTTTATTTATCTTTTATTAATTATGAGAAAAATATATACGAATACCAAGACCATCCTTGATAAACTCCGGACAATGCAATATGACATGGCCAGGGGTATTTTCAATATAAAAAGTACCCCTGCATATGTTGCTATCATTAATGAACTTGGTTGGACACCAATTAAGTACATAGTCCTCAAGCGACAAATCCAATATTTTCTCCATTTACAGACTCTTGATCAGGGGTCATTCATAAGATTACTACTAACAAGAATGCAAGAACGATTTGCATGTAACAAATCAAATAGTTGGAAATATGTCGAGCACATAAATGATATCTTTAAACTGATTGACCTTAAAGGCATTGACAATCACTTAAATACTTTGATAGAAAATTATGAATCTTCTATTCAGAAGACATGCCACTCTGAGATACAAACTGAAATGAATGGAAAGTCTTCCTTGACACTGTATAGACATCTTATTGATCTTAAACATAAAGGTTCACAGTACTATTTAAGAAATGATTTTGATTTTGCAAGCGCACGATTAAAATTTCTTGCTCGGACCGGGAAACTAGGTCTTAAAGGTGAAACATATAAATGGGCAAATGTACAAGTTAATAGCCCATTCTGTGATTTTTGCTCTGATAAAGAAGAGAATATAGAACATAGATTACTATTTTGTTCTAATTTTGCAGGGGAAAGATCCAAATTTTATAAAATACTTGAGGATAAAATTCCCATACATTTAACAGGGATATTCTTTAGCGCCCCAACTGACACAAAATTGAAATGGTTACTGGGAGATGAGGCATACATTTTTGGGGGGCACGAATATGGTTTTTTATTCGACTCTTTAGTAAAAAGCTTTTTAAATAAGATTTTAAGTAAATATTAACATACCTATGTTTTAATTCTTTTTAAGACTCATTTTAGTTTGATAAAATGTTGTTTTTGACCAACATGGCATTTTGGATATTTTCGATTAGATGCACCTTAATGTAAGAGTGCCACTGTTAAAAAAGTGTATATCTAAATAAATAAATAAAATAAATAAATAAAATATACATATTCTCTGTGTCAACGGTGGGCCAACGATGGGCCAACCAGTCTTCTTACAACCAGTGGGCCAACTATGGGCCAACGTAGCTTGAAATCATGTCGGGCCAACGTTCGGCCAACCATATTTTCCTTCGGTGGGCCAACGTTGGGCCAATGGACATAGCGACGGAGGCCCAACCACGTCAGCCAACGTTGGACCAACCATATTTTCCTTCGGTGGGCCAACGTTGGGCCAATGGACATAGCGACGGTGGGCCAACCACGTCAGCCAACGTTGGACCAACAGATACGTAATTGTTGGGCCAACGTTGGCCCATCAGAGTTGTGCTATCTGGGTCAGCTTAACTCAGGAAATACTAAGCTTAAATATACCATTGTAAAATATTTCAATGGGCATTGTTGCCTAACAGTATTCCACCTAGCAACGGGCAAAAAGAGACTCAAATTAGTCATTTTAGCCAGATTTACAAAGTTTCATCATATGTTACACATCATTGATATTTAATTAATGTTAAGATACTATCCTTTAAAATTATAGTTGTAATCATCAATCATGTGCAATAGGCATTGTGGGCATTGTATTATTTAAAACATGTCCCTAGCAACCACATAGCAACGAGGAACTATAGCCCAAAATGAGCTATGCTAGCCAATGCTATCATGTTATGGGAACTCAGTTAAGCTTTAGAGAAAGTCTAATTAAAACCAATCTATTTATGTACAATGAGAATTGTGGAATTACATAATTTGCCTAGCAACCACCTAGAAATGGACTATATGTAACCCAAATTAGCCATTTTTGGCAGATTTGCAATCTTTGATTACACAATGCACATCATTGGCATTAAATTAATAGGAATTGGGCATAAATGTAAATGCCCCCATAAGGACTTTTGGAATCAACTTTTTGTTGGTAATCCGATTGACTTTAAATTTTCTAACTTTTCAATTAATTACATCAATTAAATTTCTGACATGTCAGGAATATAGAAAATACCATTACTTTACAATACCATTAAAATGCAGAAAAGCTTATGCAATATAAATTTACTTTTCCAAACTCAATATACTATTCTCTAGTATTCATGTCTATTATCCCGGTAGTGCATCAACATCACTTTGTTGACGGGTTCCTATATTCATTTCTTCCAGTGTAGTTCAAGGTCACTTTTGTCTGCCATACTTCAAAATTTTAAAATCAATATGTTTTCAATATATTTTCATTATTTTGATTAAATCTAATGGTTATGGCTTGATTAGTATATTTTAAAACATAAAGCATGAATTGCCTTGTACAGTATTGCCAGGAGAGAGACACTGTACCATAAGAGAACTCTAAAAGGCAAACGGAGAATCACCTAAAAAATTTAAAGCTTTGGAGAGAACATAAAAATGATAATGTCAATGAAGTTAAACTGTTATTATACAGAGGAGGTATTTTTTCTGGTCCAGAATCAACACTTTACATTTGTAACAAACATAGGATGACATATGGTATACACTTCAGGCCATCTCGACTCTGTCAGCACCCTTGTCATACTGGAAAAGGAAAGCCAGAAGACCGCCTAATCAGTTTGTCATTTGCCAGGGATATTTTTTTGACATGGGGAGTAACTGGCATGTTTGGTGGAGGTAGGTAACTTCAATTATTTCTGCTTGTTTGTTTAAGGTACCTGATGTGAGTGTTACTGTTTGGTCGACAAGGGCCACAAAAAGAAATATATGTGGTTCATCATCAGTCCTGGGACATCATTAGATCTAAATAAAATAACCAGGCAATGAGGCTATTGGTTTGTATCCTCTGCTCTGAAAATTGTTTTATCTCCAATTTTAAACTATTCATTGAAAGTAACAAAATGACAATGAACGGTTACTCTGTCTACCAGGTAATCATAGGTAATTACTATATAAAATCCCATTCAAAATTCAGGTATGATTTCATCCAATCATATTTATCCAGTATAACTCACTATGCTCACTGGTGGATATCGAATAACCTCTTGTGGATAAAAATAACATCTCTCATAAAACATTGAATATTGGTCGCCTGCTCCCTAATGTGAATATTGAATATTCAATATCTCGTGCAGATAGTCAATATCATCCTTGGTAATATAAAAATGATATTTCTTAAGAGCAGAGGATATCTTAAACCATATTTCATTTTGAGTAGTGGACATATTGCTCTTAAGATTAGTTCTTCCTTACATGACACTCTATTATTCCTAAAAATGTCAATGAAACCGGTTTCAGTTGAGAAATCGCTCAGAATTTCAGACATCCATATATGAAATGTGAAAACACAATACATGTATGATTTCTTATCAAGCAATATTTTGTACAATTTCAGGCATTGAATATACAAGATCCAGTTCGTGGGCGTCTTAGTGTTACATGGGATTCTGCTAGTAGTAGTACCCGTAACTACTACAAGAGTAAAGCAGCAGAGATCTTCAAACATGTGATAGACAGGCTTGCTCCCCATGATGGAGAGAAACTGTGGCAGGAGGTGCGATCAGTTGATATTTATGAAAAACCATGCACAGCGACAAATGAAGTTGATATGAACCGAACAGTGAAGGGGCTTCTCGAAGCATACAGAGAGGCAACTGATTCTGGGACAAAAACCCAACTGCTCTCACTTATATCAAATATGTTCACAAAGAGAGAACTTCAAAGCATGGAAATTGAACCAGGACAATTCATCAGTAAACACAAGTAAGTGTTTCAAATACTTAGGAATGCCTCTACCATTATTCTCTCTAATAAGTGGAAACCCTACAATCATGTACATCAATGGAGCTCACCTTTTCTCATTGTGACGTCATTATTTTTGCCCTATTTTACAGGCTTTTTAAAGGCTTTGAAGAAAATATGGTATTTAAAAATCCTAGGCCCAAATCGCCAATTCTAGAAATTGATACCATATTTAGAGACATGTTAAAGTCAAAGTTTTTTTTATTTTTCTGGGTCACAATCTCAGTAAATAGTTTAGTCCAAATATATGTTGAAATAAAAATCAAATCTATTGACATGTGTCAAAAAAAGTTTATTTTCTATGGGAAGTAAGGGGGTTTTGACTGACTTAATTTGTATACGTACTGTACGCCCGGTTAATTTCGCAAGTTTTAATTTCGCGAATTCGAGAAATTCTAATTTTGCAGCCATTAAATTCGCTTATTCTCTGAATCCTCAAGCTCTGTAAACTAATTTACCTTATCTACAGTAATTACACCTACCAAAATTTCATATTTGGATAAGATTTGCAATTTCTAGATCTAAGTCAATGACATGTTACACCTCAGCCTTTAATTGGCGTAATTCGCGACGATTAATTTTTGCGCAATTTGCGGTCAAACACAGTTGCGAAAAGTGCAAAACTAAAATTGCTGGCAAATAAATACCGGGTGTGCAGTACTTAGTAAGTGTTGATTTTATGGGCATATTCCACTATTGACCTGAAAATATTAGAGCTAAATCAATCACTGTATTTTGATTGAGATTTTTTGTGTCGTGCAGAGGCTTTTTTCTACACCACATTAGTAACCTGTA